CAAAAAAAAAAATTTTCAAATTCATTTTTGTTATTTTCATAATGATGCAATAAAATTAAATATTATTATAATATTATTGAAAATACTGAGTTCCTCATTAGCATATCATAGGGTAGCGAATCGAATAAATGGTCGAAGAAGTTTAAAACTGAGTTCAGAATTCACAATTTCACAATATTTCACAATTTCCGGTGTAATTCGATACTCGCAGTCACCATAATGGTGTATTTCTGGTGTAATTCTTCGATACTCACAGTCACCATTATATCCTTTATAATCTTTAGCTTTGGCTCCGAAGACTAAAATTTTCCCTTTTCTACACCACCAGTTACTAACCACTAACTGACTAATGGATTATGGCAGAGGCTCAGCGGAGCGGAGAGATTATTAAATGCGGGTTATAATAATCAATTTGGCAGTATATGAAAGGACTGTACCGAAATCTAATTGATTTAAAATGCTATAGTATATTATTAGGGTTTGGGCATAGCAAAAATGAAATATACACCTTTTGGCTTGATTTTATACATTTCCGAATATCTGCCTACCCTCAAGATTTATTTTCTATTTTTTGCTAGCCAGAGGGAGGCAAAACTTCAAGATCAGCATTTATTATAATGACTCAAATGAATTTATTGGTATCAAAAACTTTAGCTATATTAAGGTTGATACTAACTGCTATTCTATTATCCACTATTTTTGTCCATATTTCCAGGCAAATAATGGTAGAGGCAACAAAACCATACTGTTGGTCAGCTTACTTATTGTATTAGGAATTAAATATGTGATACACCATAAAAGAAAAATTTTTTTCCTAAAATCCTGTAAAAAATGTTTCTATACTATGGGCCTAAAACATATGGACTTTTTTAGGAAGGGAACGCAAGGATAACGCAATTGATCAGTCTATATGAATTTTTCACATCTCCAATTTTTCAATTCAATATTGTTTGACAAGCCAACACTCAGTAATGATCGTGGTACTATCTACGATGAAAGCTAAATGATACAGTGACCTGCCTTTCTAAGTTAAAATTCTTGCGCATAGAACCATTATTATTAATCTATTCGGAGCAACTCGGTGAATTTTCATGAAGGTGCATCAATTCGCCACCCAATACAAGATTACCGAATTCTAGATTTGTGATTCTAGATTTTTTATGAGTAGTATTCAGTTGGTTATTATATAGCCTAAAATCATCTTTTCTTCACAATAGCAATTCCGTGATTTTTTTGCAATCAGATTCGAATTTTGTTCATTATCAATCCATCAGTTTGATAAACCAGATAATAGATAATTCGAATATTAGGATTATTAAACTTTTGATGATTTAATAATTATCTCACGATTAAAATGTTATGATATCAAGCCAATATCATTGATAATGGTAAAAAAAAGAGAATAAGGGATCCGCTTGTCATCAAATTTTATGAATTGATAATATGATCTCAACAAATTCGTTCATTAAAATCCTAATAAACTAGAGAACCAGATAATAGATAATTCAGAGAAGTCAAATCATCTATTTTTCTAAGAGATATCTCATCATCCCTGGTAAATCCAGCTCCATTTGCTTCTAACATGACTAAAAATTCTTATAAAGGAGGGTAAAAATACTAATAAAAATACTGGTAAGTCGCAAGAACCAACCAGATTTCTACACTTGCAAGAATAAGTAATTGAACTTATGATGCTGGTCGAGTCAAAACCACACCATTCGACCGTTCTTGTCCTATTGGGGATTTTATAGATCCTTATTTTAAATCTAGCAACTAACTGCATTATTATTTTTACATTCATACGTATTCCTAATTAAACAAGTGATACGTGAGCAAAAATTAGGTAAAGTATCAGTTAAATCTCGATAGAGGATAATTCGCACTATTACATCCCACATCAAGGACACGTAACCAGAGAGCCAGAATTTAAAACATTTGCGTTCCATAGGTTCTGCTCAAAAAAGGCGAAGATCCTGTTGGTCTCCCTTTTGTTTTGACTTATTGCAATTTTTTCATGGATTGCTCCTAGAAATCTAAACAATTCTTGGAAATTTTTCGGCTTAAATATGGTAGCGATTTTAAAATTATTCATTTGCAGCTATTAGTGATAAAATGATAAGAAATGATAAATAACTTCATATACTTTATCAAAACCAAAAAATTTTAAAGATTTTTAAGTATTTTATTTTGAAATAATTTTCTCTAATTTTGAAATAATTTTTTTCCTCAATCTGTTTGTAGAATTTTATGAATTAAAAATAAAAATAAAAATCAGTGAAAAAAATTGGTAAATATAAAAGAAAAACTCATAAGATTCACATCAAACCAATTCATGGCTGAGCATATATATAAGTGATTAGCACTCATCACTTGCTAGACTTGCTAGACTTAGCTATTAACAAGATGAAAAAATTGTTAAGTTTCTAACACCTGGATTTTTTAATTAGATTGACGGATTTACCCATATCAGCCGCAAAGATCGAACCACAGTGCTAGGAATAATCTAAAAAGTATTATGTATTATACCAATACCATAGACAAATGATAATTTACATGGCATTTTTTCCTGAATATTTTAAGAATTTTAATAATTATGATAATTTTGATAACTTTAGAGCGAAGTCCAAGTTGATCAATACATCGCTATTTTGTGATAAGTTTTATTTTTATCAATAGGCGATGATTATTTTGCTTTTACTTTCCGCATTTTCGAAGATATTTTTCATGAGCGCTAAAAGGCAAAAATATTATAGCAATTATAGCAATTACACAGCGATTTTGATAAATAAGATAAATCGCTTAAGGCTTGATAGCCGGTCCGCATTTTCGAAGATATTTTTCATGAGCGCTAAAAGGCAAAAATATTATAGCAATTATAGCAATTACACAGCGATTTTGATAAATAAGATAAATCGCTTAAGGCTTGATAGCCGGTTGAACTGGTTTCTAAATAAAATTATCGAAATATCGAATTATAATAAATTGGATTTATGTCCAATGGAACTTGTAGCCAATTGATAGTAATTGTTATGAAAAAGGGTAAAAGCAATAAAACAAATAAAAGGCTGATAAAATGAAATTTTGACAGGACTTTTAATTTTCCTACACTTTTTCATAATATGTTTATTGTAAATTTTGATGAGAAATGATGGCCGAACGGCTGGATTCAGATTCAGCTTTTGCCTTCAATAAGAGTGATCATGCAATTAAAGAACCCGATTACACTGTGATTCACCAATATCTTTGTCGTCAAATAATAATTTTCTTTCTGACAAAAATTTCTCACCATGTTATCAATCAATGATGAAGTGAATACAGCCAAGATTGGTATCTATTTCATAATAGAGGTAATAGAGGATATTAAGAGGTTATCTGGCTTTGACCACTCATGTCTAAGATAAGATCTAAAATATTTTACGGGTTTGCCGAATGGATAAAATTGCATATGATCGCATCCACCTTTGCTCAAATACTATTTGCATTAGTAGTACCGTCATTTTCACCAAGTAATTAAGCGTTGAGCAATAGCAATCAATTTTTTATCACCTTATCAAAAATTATTAAAATAGAAAATTTTGCTTATTTTCTATTACAATTCGATAAATAAAATTAAATGAATATATTTCGTTGACCAGAAAATAATAAATCTAAAGCTTTATTTACACACCGGAAATAAATTACATAAAAATTTTCTCCAAAAAAAATTATATTTATCAAAATTTGCAATGAAAAAATTTATATAATTTTTTTTTATTATTAAAAAATCTCGTATTATTAAAAAATGTATTATAACTAAGAGCAAATTTTTTTTTTCAAATTCCATTCATTTAATAAAGCTTAAAACTATTTAAAATTTAAAATTTAAAACTGTTTAATTTAATAAAATTTTTTTAATCGCCATTTTTAATTTTTATTCATTTTTTTAATATTCGGCACCTCTTTTTTCCAAGAATTAAAAAAATATTAGAAGAATTTTGAAATAAAAAAATAAAAATAAATATTAGAAAAATTTTTTTAATAATGAATAATGAAATAATTAATTATTAAAATTATCGCTGAGAATTGTAAATAATTTATATTTCTTATTGATGTGATCGTTTATTTAATATAAATTTTTTTTTAATATAAATGAAATAAAATAAAACTTAAATTTCATGAATTTTCTTCAATCATTTATCTTTTTCATTTTCATATTTTTCAGAATATAAATAAGTTTAAAAGATTTATAACTAATAAATTAAAAAGCTGACAAATTTTATTTAATAAATCATTTTTCGTTAAAGAAAGCTCATTTAAATTGCCGTTAAAAAATTGAATTGAATTCACTTAGAAAATTCGTATATTATTTGTAAATATATATTCAAATTAATATTATTATATTATTTCTATTTATATATTTATATAAATATATGTCTGAGCAAATAAGGCTTCGTAAAAATTGATTATTTTTCGAGAATTACCATATTTATTCATTTGAATATATCGTTGAAAAAATTTCATTTACTATTTGATACATACATTTGATTGTATATAAGATGAAAAAATTAATATTATAGTATCATATAGATTTTTTAGTTAGTCAGATGATGGCGATATTGTATTCGTTTCCGATTCGGCAACTTTTAACTCCGAATTCAATGCCGTACAAACATTTGGTGCGAATAAAGGTGTATTAGCCAAAAAAGGGCGTATTAAACTGAAAATAATCGAAATTAATTGTTTTAAGATTTTTTTTCTATAAGCTCTCACCATTTCTGGTGAGGTTTAGTTCATTGGTTTATATTGGACAAGATAAATAAATCTTGGCAAGGATGTCAAGCAATAGCAATAGAAATATAGGTTTGTCGCTAGTATCATCCATTTTTTATGTTAAAATAGAAATTTTTTTTTTATGAATAAAAGGTTATCAGTGTATGCCTTTTTTAAAACTTCGATAGTGATATTGAAAATCAATGAAATTGATAACTGATAATGATAAATTTGCTTTGTTAAGATTCAAGTCATAATTTAATGATGCGATCATTTACGATTAAAGCTATAGTATTATTTGCAAAGCTTCAGAAATAAATGAAAAAATAAATCGAAAAAAATTTTTATATCCGTCGAAATGAACTATCTTATTAGGCAAATAATAGAAATAATACCTGTTTGGCGAGCAAAGTTTTGGCATAAACGATGACCTCCATGCTTCATAATAAAATGGATTTAACATATATGCAGTCATTTGATGGTCAACGAATGGCCAATGCAGTGTTGCCATTTTTTGTCGTTTATCTTTCATTCGCCGATTCTGGAACCATACCTAAAAAAAAAAAAATTAGTATATTTTCGTTACGTATTAAAAAAATACTATAACAAATTTTCTTATTCCTTGATTCCGAACGCTTAGTGCTGATTAGCTTTCTAAACGAAGAGGTGACCAGTAAGAAGTTACTAGAGAAACATTTGAAAATAATGATAAGAAAGGCTTTTAGTAGTCCTCGAATAGGTAATTAGCATAGATTTATTAGCAGATTCTTGTCTGATCTAAAATTTATTCTATTGAATCCAGAAGATTTTATTAGATATAAATTTTTTTTATTCGGTCGATATTTTCAAATCTTTTAAATGTGAAAATTTTTATTAGCCAAAAAAAATGCAGTTAAATTCGATTAAAATATTATAGAAATAAATTTTTTTATTTATTTATGATATAAATATAATTGACTTCTTTTACAGTATTAAGAAATGTCTTCATAAATAAATAATAAATTCTTATTGTTCCTCCTTCATCTTAAATTTTATTAAGAACTATTAATCTTTTTGGACTATGAAGAAGGACCTCGGAGACCGCATTGCCAATAATTCTTCGCTCAATAGATATAAGAGAATTTTAGAAAAAGAATTATTGAAGATGAGAAATGACTTTTTGAAAATGAGCAAGTCAATGTGTGATAATACCCTTATGCAATTTTTCTCTCGAGATTTAACTAATATACAGTAGTCTTTTTGCAACGAGTTCAACATTTCAAGTTTTCTTGGCACAAAATAATTTATTTAGAATAATCAACCAAATTTTATATATTTTGATATTTAAAAATCTAATATTATTTCTATTCAATAGAAGAATAATAAGAACAAAATAAGTGCATTAGCGAGATGCATTAATTCAATTTAGTTGGTATGGTACTCGTTAAATATGATAAATAAGAATAAAAAACAAATATGATAAATAAGAATGCAAATTATAAATCATCCTCGTCTTAGGGCTTTATGCTTAACTTGAACAACTTAGCCTTTCAAAAATTCGAGTGGTACTAGCGACTAAACTGTTCTATCGTCAAAATTTTAATCCTACCGCAAAAATTTTTCCAATTTAACAAGCCAGTGGAAATGGATTCTAGCGAAAAGTTGAACGCTTTTAGAAAATTATTGGAACGATAAATATGTGCCTAAGGAATAGAAAAATATTGCGAACGATGAATTTTTTATTACTATTTTTTGTATATATTGTAAATTATTTTAAATTTAAACATATACTAATTCTAATTCTAAAATTCAAATTTCCTATGTTTCAAAAAAAAATTTATTAAATGAAAAATTTCTCATAAATAATTGGCTTTAAAAAAATAGCATTAAATTTCACTGAGTTTTATTATACTTTAATTGTGCCTTCAGGAAGATTCAATTGTGCCGCTAACTCGCAACGTTTTGGTCGAGAAACATAATTTTCTCGAGCGAATTCTTTCTCTAGGCGACTAATTTGTTCACGACTGAATGCCGTTCTATATCGCCGCATCGCTCCATCGTCACGCATATCTAAAATTATAAATATTATGTGTCAGATTATAAATTTATCAGATTATAAATTATTTCATGAGATTTTACCATCCTAGTTATTGATATAAATTGCAAAACTATTTATAAAATCAGAATTTTTTTTTTTGTTAGTAATAATGAAGAATCAAACAGAAGAATTCTTCTTCTTCTTCTTAAGAGTCCTCACCATTACTGGTTAAACTCTCTCCATTGGCTTATCGCATTGAGAAATATGCCAGGGAGTCCCTTGGCGATAAAAGTACAGGTGAGCCAGCATCACTCGGATTTTTGTACAGGTTTGCCCCTGTGGGGAATCGAACAGCAGCTTCGACTGCTCTAAATTGAGCAATAACCCACTGAGCCATCCTATCCTCAAACAGAAGAATAAACAAAAATAATGTGAAATTTGGAATTTATTTTTAATTGACTTAGCAAAAATCCCTCTTTAAATTATCGAAACTCGATATTCCGAATTATTAAGAAATTCGAAAATCTTTCGCTTCTCGCTGGCGCCATAAGTGTCGAGAATAAACCAGCGTTTAATTTATAACACCGTGGTAATAAATTTTTTTACATGCTATTTTAATTAATTCGATCTGTGATCATGACTTAAGCTCATAAATTTGCATAAAAATGATAGCTAGAAAATTTCAAACTTTGCGCAATAAAAGATTCGATTAGATTTGAAAATAAATGGAATAGTAACAAGAACTTCACTAATATATTTAAAATTTAGAATATACCACAAAAAATATCTATATTGGAATTTCTTAATTTTAAATTTTTTAAGTAGATGAAATAATAATCAGTGAGTTGTGGATCTCATTTTAAAGCGCCGATTCTGGAATCTTATCCTGGATGGAGAGAAATTTAGCCTTCTAAAAAACTGATTGATGCTGATTGATTCATTTGTATTTCTATTGCCAAATAACTCTGTTAGGCTAAATTTTTCAAGTGATAAGAGATAAGAAAACCAGCGAATCGACTTCAACAAGAAATGAAATGATAAGAAATGTTAAGCAAATAAAATCTGCTTATTTAAATTTAAATTTCTCCTTATATATTTAAAATTTTGTTCATAAATTTTGTTCATTTTTCTTTCAAAAAAAATTATATAAAAATTATTTTATATATGAGTTCATTCATTCATTTATATGTGAAATTTGAAAAGTATTTCTTCTCAAAAATTATATAGCATTTTGAATGATTAAAGATAGTATAGTAACACTAATATCAGATAATTCAAGTTGGCGAATAATTTATAATAAATTGAATCATGAATATTAAATAAGAGAAGTTCCACAATGTTTAGCCTTTTTTATATCATCGAATAAATCAACCGTAAGAAATATTTCTGACGATGATATCAGAATTTAGCGATAACTTTGGTGTTAAACCGAGCAAATATGATGCTTTCTTCAATTTTTAATAATATATTTAATATTTATAAAAATTTTTTAGATAGTACAACGATGAATGATATATTGATGTTATCAGAAATCGATATTTTTGCCTCATGATAAAAAAAAATTAATTGTTAACTGATTTGAAGCATCGTAACAAGTTAGGTAAGCACTAGGGTGGTTAAACCTTCTATTTTAGCCCCACTAACAATGATGAATCTTCTACTTAAGTTAGAACATTGGAAACTCGTCTATCTGAATCTGTGGTAGAAGATTAGCTTCTAATAATTACGATTATTAATGCTCATACCAAATAAGAAATAGTGAATATTATTAGAAAACTTAATTATTTACTATTAATTATTAATTAGACACTTTATAGTTTTTGAATTTATATGAAAATTATGAAAATATTATAATTTAAAATATTAAATGTTATAATTTATTTATATTATTTAATGATTTATGCGGGAAAAAGATTAAAGAAAATTCATATAATAAATATTAATTATTAAATGATAACGAGAATCATGATAAAAACGATATTTTTTTTTGATAAAATCTAACCAATCCAAAACTATATAATCATATAATGAAGACCTAAATCATTCCTTATAAGATGGCTAATTTTATGGTTAGCGGTGAGTCTTTTTAATAAAACTTGTTTCTAATAGTTCTTATATTTAAAAGACGAGAATGAAAAATGGTACTATTACTTCGCCTTATTATCGTATTTTACGACCATAAAAGACAATTTCGCCGACAAATCATTCACAATTCACCTGTATCGAACAAATTACATAATTTCTTGTCTAACCAAACACCATTACAAAATACGATAGAATATTTTTCGAAACCTTTCACCACCACCATCAATTATTAACCGAAAGAGACAAAATATTAACGGTTCTTTTGTTTTAAAAGAGATTAAAGCAATTCATACAAATAATTGAAGACTACATGAAATAGATTTAATATTATTGCAACAATCATCTTTTATATATTAAGTTATGTTGTTAGATTTGATGGTTACTTGACACTATAAATTGGATATTCATCGAGCATTTGAAGGTCATTCTTAATAAATGCAAAAATGACCGAAATTATCGCATTTCAATCGGAATATTTTATTTATAGCTGATATATCCAAATCCTAATAATCGATGAGTCGCCTTTTATTAACTATTTTATGAAGCTAGAGCCAGTTTAATATTGTTCGATTAGGCTAAAATTTGTCAACAGAGAGTTATTTGACAAAACGCAAATACAGATGAGTGATAGTACTGATAAGGCTATCAATAATATTTAAATACCTAGTATTAATATTAATATATTGTAGTTATAATCGAAATATGCAAAAATTTGTAAAAATTTCAAAAAAAGAAAATAATAACAGAATGGAATATTATTTAAAAAATTTTAAAAAATAAGCAAAATGATGGAAAATGTATTAAAGATTTTCGACTATCAACTAAAACAATTCATCAATTTTGAATAATATGAAAATAAAAAGTAATTACTATAAAATCATCTTTGAAATATTATTTATTAATAAATAGATTATTTATTTACCTTTAATATTTTATGAAAATTTTATGAAAATTTCATCACATCCAATCTTTTCCTTAATTTTTTAAGCTTTAGAGCAAAAATAAGCTGAAGAGCAAAATGAAAAAAAAATTAAATCCATTAAATTAGCAAAAAAGCTAAAAAAAAAAATTACGAAATATTTTTTAGCCAACTTGAAATCCGTCTGAATCAATTATTTTATTCATGGTACTTTTTATTCACAATAACAACTAATAATTTTGTCTCATTCGATTTAATTCTATGCTTGAAAATAAGAAATAAAGGTCGAATATTTAATTTCTATAAAATTAGATAATTTTTTTAATATTTCTATTATTTAATATTAAAAATTAAGGAAAAGATTGGAAGTGATGAAATTTTCATAAAATTTTCATAAAATATTAAAAGTAAATAAGTGATCTATTTATTAGTCTATTTTATTATAATCTATATTATTAATCTATTTTAATCCATTTATGTTTTCTAAGACTTCATCACTGCTATTAGTTTCGTTCACCTAGCCTATTGAAATAACAAGAAAATTTAGTCAAAGGGTTAATTAGTAATCAAATGAAATTGGCTCACCAGCAAGCATGCATTTTTAAAGGATAAGCTTATTTTTGCTCGGAATGGAACTACAGTATCGATGCTTAGAATAAAAAAATAAAAATTAGAATGAAAATTTTCATGAGCCATTCAAAACTTTTAATTTAATCTATTTTAATATTGAAATAAATAACTTTCGAATGATTCCACCACTCAAAGATTAATAATAATCTAATTTTATGAGCCACAGTAACATAACAAATTTATGATAAATTGATACGACGATAATTTATCAAAATTATTTGAAGAAAATTAACGCGAAAATGGTTGAAATTGGTGAAATTGCCTTAATAACTATCGGTTACGGTAGAAAAAGAAAATTTTCGCGAAATAATCACCTTTTTATGAGATTTCAATGACGAACGAAGAAAAACGATTGATCTAATTTGTTGAAAAATTTATTAAAAATTAGAATATATTTATAAAATAATGTTTGGTGAAAATTTAAAAATGCAAAAAAAAAACGAGCGATCGATATATTTTCTGCTTATATGTATAATATTAAATAATGTTGGAGATTCATCTACGTTAAATGATTCCCTAGAAAAATTTGCATTGTCCGATAGGTATAATGAGGCACAGTTAATAATCCAATTTTTTTTAAAGAGCTGCTGGTTAGATTCATTTTGCTGACTTATCGCAGTAGATAAATATGCCAGGGAGTCCAATGGCAATAGAAGTACAGCCGAGTGGTTTTTTGATAAGTGTACGCCTATAGGGAATAGAACCTCAGCATTGGCGCTCCGAATTGAGCAAAGACCCACTGAGCCATCCTACTCTCCGTTCATAATTTCATTATGGAACTTCTGCTGTTGTTTAAGACTTATTTAACTTTATAACATTTTTTGCTCCAAAGTCATTCTAAAATTAGAATTCATCGAAATCGCTCGTATTTCTGCATTATTTAATTTTAAAATCACTGAAAAAAGATTGAAACCCTTCAATTTATCAATGTAGTAACATTCATCTCAAAGCTTTCTTACCATTATTAATTATGCGTAAATATAAAATTGGCATAGAATTTAGCTAAGCTAAAACTATGCATCTGCTAATTTAATTTTCGAAATACGTGAAGGTGATAGAGATAGAATTTTTTCTCTTATCATATCACATCTCTAACTGAAAAATGCAAAGAAATGCAAAATATTCTAAAATGGAATGATACTATAAAATAGTTTAATGAAATAAAAAAAATTTTTTTTTATCTTTTTTTTTGAAATAATTATTTTGCATATTATCAGAAAAATTTTACCATTTTATCATTTACCACTTTATCACTTTAAAACTCAATAGTAGAATAAGGTAGTTCAATAGATTATCACACTCATTTTGCCAATGACAAGATTTTATTTCCAACAAGGATAAGCCAAACTTTCAAGGATTCGATTGCAACGCTAGCTTACTAATAGATTACCCACCTGTATGACTTCCTATCGAAAATTTGCTTTGACTCGACAAACGAACGAAGTAAATTTAATTAGAAATGAGAAAAAAAATTAATTGATAACTGCAATTAAAATTCAAACTATTATGCTACGAAATAATACAATAATACAAAAATAAATAAGAATCCTTAAAAATAAAATTGTTGCCATTACTTTCCGTTACTTTTTTGCGATTTTTTTACGAGAAATACTCATAATTATCGCTTAGACTCGCTCAGCTGGCTTGTCTCGTTAGATAAATCTGCCAGGAGTCCCCTTGAAGATGGAAATGAGTCGTAAGCGTCACCTGGCTTTTTGGATCGAATTACTCCTGCGTGATGTAGAATTTCAGCATAGGCGCTCCAAATGAGTAACGACTCATTCCACTTCCTTTTCGTTTTTCCGTTAAGTGATACTACTGCTCGACGAAGAGGGAAGCGTCCTTTGAATTCGAACCCAAGCCTCGATTCTCGGTGGGCAATTATTTTGCAACTAGGCCATCGACATATCATTTTCTATTGTTTAAAAAATTTTAAGGTGTAAAAATGCAATAAATTCCTAATTTCCTTTATTGTTTCCTTCACTTTATTCCTTTCCTTTATTTTTATTCCTTCTTGTTCGAAATGAAGAAATAAACTGTCGCTGATACATCGTTTTTTCTCGCCATTTTTTTAAATAAATTTTTTAAAATTCTCAATACTATATTTTAACAACTTAATTAACAATGATTAATTAATTATGCTGTCAGAATGGTTGTCGTTTTCATTTTTAAAAATAAAATAATTGCTTCATACTTATCTCGTCAATTAATAATTCGTATCAATCCCTTTTCGAATGCTATTCAGCAAGAAATAATTTTCATTTAAATTTCTTTTATCGTTAATATCGAATTAATCGCTAGAAATAAATAAAACAGTTTACATTACCAATCAGTAAGATTACCAATAAAATTAGTGGTACATTTTTTTTTCAATTTTAAAATTTTAAAATTTTTAAAGTTTCAATTTTAAAAATTCAGGAAAATAGTATAAAATTTAAAGATTCCTTTAAATTTTATATAGATAAACATGAATAAGAGAATGTTTTATTTTCAATAATTAATAAAAAAATTCATTACATTTTGTTATAATTATTGCATTTAAGTGGTTGATAAAAAACACTACTGGAAGTAGAATGGCTTGGCGCGTTGTTGTTCTCGTTTCTGAACGTCGATGCTAGAATTCTGTTCCTATCAGAAATAAAGCCGCTTTTAACAAAAAACCCAAATTGTACTGGCGATTCATTTATACTTCTGTCAACAAATGATTTCCTAGCAAAATTTGTCAACAAATAAAGCCTAGCAAGTACTTTTTTAGAAAAAAATTACTATTATTGCTATAATTTCATTTGAAAATTTTTGTATTAAATTAGATTTTCAAATATTATTTAGTACTAAAAAAAAAAAGAAATTGGAAAGAATTGTGATCAATTTTTTAATGAATGTTTGAATTTGATAGAATTTTTTTTTTGTCGAAATACTTATTTATTCGAAAGATAATTTATGAAAATATGCATTTGTTTGAGGAATAATTTTCAAGATTAGAATGAAATAATAATAAATTGTGAAAAAGGATAAAATCTGGAATAAAATATTGAGTGAATAAATAACGAATTAATTGAAGACAATGGTTCGAAATGTATTGCTATTATAATAATAGAAAGAAAGCAGGCAAGCTGACATCAATGAAATCGATCATTTCAAATATCATCCGATCTAACCGATCAGCTAATAATCATCTGCTTTTGAGGCTGAATAATTACAATGGTTTTTATAAGACGATTTTATTATAATAATATTTATCATAATATTAATTGAAAATCATCGAAAATTGCAATTTCTTATTTGTTATCAATCATCAGTTTATCAATCTATCATTTGCATATTTTTATAAAGTGACAAAGTGAAAATAAATTTTCGAGAATTCCACTATATTTTGCTCCCACAAATTGAACAAGTTAAGTTAACAAGTCAATTTATAATAAATATTATCTTTCTTGCATATTTACAGAAATTACAAAAATTTATCAGTTAAGATAAAGTAAGGCTTGAATTAACTTTATAACTAATTTTCATCATTAACAAAATATAATTATGGAATTATAATCAATCAATTTCACACTATAATTTATAATTCATGAATATTGAATGATTTTTGTGAAATATATATAGCAACTATAGTTAAATTTTATTTTAAACAAACTGTCGACACTAATTTTAGGTATAAAATTCTAATTTAAATATAATTCTAATGAAAATTTTATAAAAAAAATTATCAATACATTTAATAATGTTTAAAAGATAAATTTACTAATTTTTGTGTGAGAGAAAAAAATTAAATTAAATTTAATTAAAATTAAATTAAATTAAAATTAAAAAATGAATAATTAGCATTGATGCAAATAATTTTTTTTTTTTTAAATTCTTCAAAATTTATATTTCAAGCGTATAAATTTGATAAATTTCTTAAATAACTGCCGTAATAAATTAAAATTATATTTTTCATAAACTTATTATTAAAAAAAAAATAAAATAAAATGCGAACTTTTAAGAATAGTAATTTTTGAAAAATTTTCAGTTTTTTTAAAATTCTTAAAAAATCATCTTAAAATATTCAGTATAAACAAATTGTTTTCTGATTGTTTTATTGAGATCTCGAAATGTGATAAATGAGATTTCTTTCTTAATCGGAAATAATCGAGCAATAACAATGCGAAAAAGAAGATTTAAGAATGACACAATTTACGAATATGAATAAAATTAGTTAAGCAAAGCGATAGGCGTAAAGAAAAGGATATTGTTCTTTTTTAATGATTTTAGAAACGTAAAATTGATGGTTTTAATAAAAAAATCTAAAATTCTAAGCTAAATGTTGCAAGAAAAAAAACCTAAATGATCGATTCTTACATTTCTTTTACTTATTTACTTATATTTTTTATTGTATTGCCTATAATTCGTTTATATACAACGCATATAATTTAAGATGAACAAAAAAAATTCCAAAGAATTGCTAAAAAATATTTTCTGGTCTATTTTCGTAAATTATATGCAAATTTTGAGAGGCTATAAGCAAATTTTATTATTAAGTATTAATTTAATTAATATTATCAAATTTTATTTTATTATAATTGCAAATATTACGAATATCGCCGGAAATCCTAAACGAAAATTATTATAAATATAAGTAAATATAAAAATTAAAAAAAATTAGGACCATCTTTTAATAAAATTCTAAATAAACGTAAATTTGAAAAGAAAATTTGAATAAAATAAAAAATTTTAAAAATTACTAAAATTATTTATTTTAATTTTGGTTAACTTCGAATAAAATTTCATTAATTTAAAAATCAAACGCATGGAATTTTCTGCAAAATATTTTGTGAAATATTTGTATTTGCTATAAAAGCAAAAATATGAATTATATTTTGGTTAAAAATTTAATTAAACCAATAAAAATTATTAAAACCAATCTTAGTAAAAAAAAAGGTTTCTGATGAATAATTCAGTTATGCTTATTTGCTTTCATGAAAATCAACAATTTCAAATGGAAAAAACGAAGATATTTGATATTTCGCAAAAATTAAAGAATTCTTTTTTTTTGTAACAAAAATTTAAAGCCATAAGCTTCGATCGTTTAATAATGCAAACGAACTGTTAATATTTCAGATCATTTTCGTTTTAGAAACAAATATGAAAAAAATAATGGCTATCGAAAATTTGTCGTATAATATATATTAATTTATATATTACATAAAATATATGATCAATATTATATAATATATAAAAATTTAGATTAAAAGTTCTTTACAAATAAGTTAAATTTGCTAAAATTTAAAATAAATTTGCGAAATGCAAAGAAGGAAAATTTTAATGAACAAAATATATAATTGAAAAAATTCAAAAAACGTTCATATAACAATTTTTTCCAAAAAATGAATTGTCGACAAAATGAAGTATAAATAAATACAAATAAAAAGAAGTAAAAAAAAGCAAATGAAATAAAAGCAAAAAAATATATAAAAAGTGAAAGTATTTTTTGCATTCACTGAAAATATTTTAACAAATGGAAAAAAATTAAAAAATTAATTAAACTATTAAATTAATTTCGTTTTTAATTTTCTTCTTATCAACTTATTTTCAACAAAAAAAAAGCTATCCTATAATTTCTTATAAAACTATATCTTAAATTTGAAAAAAGATATTTTTCATAGTATCAAAATCAAAATCAGTTAAAATTAAACAAAATATATAAAATAAAAGTTAGAATTTTACCTTGTGATGACGATGATGATGAGCAAAAATTTTTCACATCTGAATTAATACTTATAGGGCGATTGTGAACCGATCGAGTGCTTTCCGAATTAAACAGCTCATCAAAATTAAATTCTTGTTTAAATAATCGCTGATTATCAGTTAAATGAGCATTATCATTATTAATATTAGTGGAAATATTCCAAGAAATTTGTTGATCTTTTGATGAATTTCGATTAATTGATTTTAACATTGGATCAGTTTTATCACTAACATTACGTTCACCAATTAACGACTCAATATCAAAAGACTGCATCACTCATACAACGACAAATCTATGATTTACTTATGATTCTGTTCAACTACGACCGAATTAACCGAATTTACGGTAGTTTGAAACTTAACATTTCTTTGTCCAACCCATTTTTATTTATTTAACCAATCAAATGAAGAGTCACATCTCCCAAGAGGTTGGCTTCTTCAAATTCTTTTTCGTCCTATTCATTTCACTGAAGATTTGAGCTTTTTAAAAAGATAATAATAAATAATCGAGAATTTCAATAAACTAAATACAATAGAATCATGAAAATCGCCTATATTAAATCATTTTAAATTATTTTTATTATTTTGGTTTTTCTTTTTTTCATTTTTTATTTATTTAATGAATATTTAGAATATTATAAGCGAATTTCAATTCATTCATTATATGGGGTTTTTTTTTTAAAAAAAGACCTCACCATTACTGGTTAAGCTCGCTCTGCTAGCTTGTCGCACTAGATAAATATGCCAGGAAATCCCTTGGCGATAGAAATACAGGTGAGTCCTCAGCATCACCCGGATTTTTGTAAAAGTTTGCTCTTGCGGGGAATAGAAGCTTAGTATCGGCTCTCCGAATTGAGCAACAACCTACTGAGCCACTCTATCATTAAATAGAGTAATTTCGATCGAATGGGTGCGCGATACTGAATTTCACGATTGGCTATTCTCCAGTCAGAGGCAAAACTCGACTCCATAATCCCATCGTTCCTAGGCTCGTTATAAGCACTTCCCCCTTCCTTTGGAAAATTTCCATATTTTTAATATTATTTTGTATTTCTTCATCAGAAATTTAAATCCAAAATATTATTAAATTGTTTTCAATAAGGAAAGCTATCGGCTATCGTAGACAAATTCCCAAATATTGCTAGTCTTTTCTTTTATTGATTTTACACTAATTTTGTCAATCAATTATGTTATAAACATAAATGAAGCATTCAAGCATTCTGTTATCAATTATTTAATCAATTATTTAATTCATTAAAAAATTAAATTAAAAAAACGAAAATCAAGTTTAACGAAAGAATGTCATTTGATCGAACGATAGATATTGCTCTGATTATGGTTAAAAATTTCTGTTTTATGTCGAAAAAAAACGAACTATTATAAGTGAAATTTCTACTAATTTTGGAAAACGGATGAAAAAGAAAAATTTTCACTTTTAAAAAAATTCCTGAAAAATTTTCATGAATATTTTTTGCAATTCAATGATATTAGACAGTAGCTTGTGATTTTTTTTTTTTTTTCATTTGTTGTTCCAATATTTCGAGTGCGAAAATAGCACAAATAGCGCATAAATCTATAATTAGTAGCAAATAGTATCTTGTTGAATATGAAATTTGCTATTATGATATTAAGATTTTCATTTCGATTTTCATTATTGATAAGTTGATAAACTTATCAAAATAAAATTGCGCTATTTTGAAGGAATTGTATTGATTTTAAACTTATCGTTTGTCACTCAAAAAATAAGTAAAATTCATCATTTTACCAATTTTCTATATTGAAAAATTCCTTCTTGACACAATTGTTGATTGCTCGAAATAAAACGAATCATTTCTTTAATATTCTCTCATATAAAAATATTAATAGATGTGTTGATTTATCCAATTTATTTTAAAGCAATTCGTTTACAATGGCTCAATGAGTTATTGCTGTCATTTCAGAACGACGATATAAAGGTTCTATTCCTCGTACTTCTCTTCCAAAAATCCAAATGTTACTCTGGTAACTCATCCGTACTAATGTCGTACTTGTATCCTCTACATAATTTATTTATTTAGTCTAATAAGTCAACGTTATCAAAAATAATAAACGTTCTTGTGGGAAAAAAATCATCACATTTTCGTTAAGAAAAAAATGATTTTAAATTAATTAAAACCAAATAAAAATAAGAAAAAAAAATTTTTTCTTGAAAAAAAATTTAATTTATTTTATAAATTTTATTTATTTTAAAAAATTTTTTATTGTTGAAATATTTGATATTTAAATTATATTTTAATATTTAAATTTTTTTATTTAAATTTTTTCAAAATAAAAAAGTAAAATATAAAATATAATATAAAATATACAAATAATAAAAAAATTTAAATAAAATTTGATTAAAAAAAAATTTTTTTTATGAATTTAAATTAACTAAATTATTAATAAATAATTCAATAATTGAGATCTCCTCTGTTTTTATAAATCATAAAATGTTTTGTTTGCGTGTATTTTGACACGAAAGAAAGACTAATATATTTCGATTATGGCGAATAACAAAAAAGGCCAATTTTTGAACGATTGTCGGACTCATTAAAAGCACACTCAAACTCTTTTTATTTATTTATATTCATTTGATCTATCATCAAAATTTATAACTTTACTTTTAACCTCGCAATAATCTTTATACCTTATCAAATCTGTTATTTCGTCCTCTTCCGTCTCTAATAATATTATTTTACAATCGCTAATAAAAATCATATTCTTCTTACTCAATATGATCTATCGATTATTATAACTAAAAAGCAAATGAGCCTAATTCGACAGAATCTCTCAATCTCTGATTATTAACGAAAAAATTTTTTTCTTAAAGATAAATCAAAAAAAAAAAATAAAAGAATGAATATACAATTTACTAAATTGAAAAAAAAAGGAAAAAAATTTTTATTTTATTAAAAAATTATTTCAATAAATATTTTATTTATTTATTATTTTATTATAAAAATTTCAATTAATATTCTCTAATTTTTTAAAATTCTTTATAGCTTTATCATATTTAAAATCGCTATACTAATGATATAAATTTTTCTAAATTCTTCTAAAATCAGAGAACCGATTTAAAAAAAGAAATAAAGATTGGTATTCACAATCTGGATTGAACTTTTAATAGTAAGTTCATCTATTTTCATTAAAAGACAAGAGCGAAGCTGAAATGAAAAAAAAAATTAGATAGTCAAAATCTATCCTATTTTCTTGGTCCTCAAAGTACCATACTAAAATCTTATTTTCAAGCATAAAAAACTGATTCGACTAATCGAAATTTTATTATTAAAGCAAAACTCTCAAAATATATAAATGAAACTTATAGTAAAACTTCGAGAAAATACGTTAGGAATAATTTTTTAAATTTAAAAAAATAAAAAGATCGATTAACAATCAACAAAAAAAATGAATTGAAATAAGTTGCCATGTTAAATGCAAAAATGAACGCAATAATAATAACGCTCGATTTTTCTATATATTTAAAAAACTGAAAAAGCTTCAATAAAAAAAAAAATAAAGAACAATATATATTCAAAAATTATAATAAAAAAAAACTATATTTTGTTGAAATTTAAAAAGAAAAACGAAAAATGATAAATAAAGAAAGCTGAAGAAATTCGAATGCTTTATATTTTGAGTGTACAACTATCAATGGCTTTATTGGAAGTAAAAAATTGATTAAATGAATATAATTTTTACCTCATTGTTAGAAAATATCTTAGATTTAATGCAACAATACATTTATTTCATTAGGGACTAGTGAAATCTTGTTTGATTGCCCATTCTTCCATATAACCATCATATTCGATTCGACAATTAGATGCGCAAGTATAAATCATCACTGTTCCCCAGTCAATACTTGCACCAACAGAATCTACATCAAGCAAGGACAATAAATGTGGCATAAGTTGAAGTTCAAAACAACGAGATGCACCACATATTTTACATGGTGGGACCAAATTATGATAAGGAGCATTATCAGTAGCCAAAAGTGGTGTACCTTTTCGATTGTAACGGAGAATCTGCTCAGGATTCAACGAAACGACCTGGAAAAAAATATTTGAAATCTATAATGCTTTGCACAATTTTTTTTTTCATTGTATCATTCTAAATTCTCTAATTTAATAGTGTCGAATGTGAAAATCAATGAAACATGAGATTAAAATAGTAGAATTTAATAGTACGGAACCAAATCAAAATAATTCCCGCAAGTAATATTATCATCCCTTAAAAGAATGACTAAAGAAAGATGATAAAATGATAAAAACAAATTTACTTTGCTGAACTTTTTGAAGGCGTTATCCTGCACAACCGAATCTTCGACACCCTCAAAGTCCGCATTTGGTAATCCATTTACCAGCTACAAAAAAACTGTATAGCGATGAACTACATATAAAAAAAAACAAAAAAGCTAAAAAATTACTTCATTTTCATTAATATACTCATGATAATCTTTCATTCGTTGTGCTAGCACATTATCATCATCGTCATCATCGCCGCTATCATCACTGTCTTTAATGTTTTCTAAGCGCGAAACATTTTCTTCATCCATTTCAATACCATATTCAGGAAAAACGAATGGATTTAATGCTGTACCACGCTTAGGTATTATAAACTCTCCACTGATGCAACCTCTTTAAAAAAAAAATTTTATTCTTGATTTATATATAAATCAAGAATGTTTATACTTGACTAAAATTATTTTACATTAGTTCAAAGCTTTAAAAAATATAAATTATTTAAGCTGATAAGAAATAATGAAGAATAAAATCAAAAAGGCTATGGACTTCGTTAACAAGAAATTTTATGATTGCCATTTTCTACATTGGATCATAATTAGAAGCAAACCTTTCATCCATCTTAAATATTCCAGTTAGCCGCTAAAAATTCCCCTAATAGCACACCTAATGTAACTTTCTAGGTTTTATAAATGAATATTTAAAAACTTATTTAGAAATACAGTTACTTTTTATCATCGACTGATTTTTCATTATCTTTCGAGAAACCACAGGCAGATTTATGTGAAAAAGACCAGTCTAAAACTTGATGATCGCGGCAACAATACCTAAAATATATAAATAAAAATAGAAATTAAATAAAATAAAAATAGAAATTAAATAAAAAATAATATCCGAAAAAGAAAAATATAATTTAAAAAAATCTATATTAACGTTTAATATTAATACTAAATTAATTTATTTCATTTTTTCAATAGAATAAAAAAATAAAATGGAATGATAATAAAAATTGATAAGAATTTACAGAAAAATTAAAATTAAAAAATTGTCAATTTTACAGTTTATTCGTTCATAGATTCTTTCGAATAAACCAACCATGCAGAACTACATCGAGCGCATTTTTTCGAGGCAAAGCAACCACAAATTTTGCAAAGAGTTGGATAAGAAGAATTAGCGTAAGGATCGGGTATATCGCCATCAACATCAGGATCAAGTGGATAATCGGGAGAATAATAAGGATTTATTCTCGGAAGCTGGCAACGAAACACACGAATGTTTGACGCATCATTTATCTAAAAATCCTAATTCCAAATGAATAAGATAATTAGATAATAATGAATAAGATAATAATGAATAAGATACAAAAATTTACAAAAAATACAATACAATATACCTGAGAACAAGATGGATTCCTGCAGATAAATATGAAAATATATCGATGAAAATCATGATCATTGTTTGGATTACCTGTATATATTTGAAGAAGAAATGCCATTTGTTTCGAACACAACTAAAATTAAGAAATTAATAAAATCGCTGATATTTTTCTCTCAAAGAAAATATTTTTCAAGAAAGTATAATCCAAGCATTAATTTCATCAAAGTTATCATATAAATTTCATAGAAAATCCTTCAAATAGAAAAATTTCAAAAAAATTTTCTTAATTTGTATATATATATATATTTTTATATAGTCCGATAATTTTCAATGAAGAGAACTTTAAGAGAGATTTTTTAATGAAAAACCAAATCCAATCAAAAGAAAAAGAAAAAAACAAGACTTACACGACATGAAAGAGATTCACCAGAAGGAATATTGATAGGATTCAACCATGATGGCGTACCTCCAATTTTGCCTAATGGAAAATACGGGGAACGAAGGCGAAAAGATAAATGCGGTTCAATAACGACACCAAATCCTAGATGGACCACAGCATCTAAAATTATCGCCAATATGTTAAAATATTTAAATATGTTATATGTTAATATAAAAAAGTTAGTTAACTTTGTTTCACAAAAGATTGCACAATAAATTTATAAAATCCGTTATTATATAAAATTGAATTTTATAAGCTCTCTAAGTTCTCTAAGCTTCAAATTTTAACAAATTTCACACCAGTCTGTCTTCTTTATCTTACAAATTCATTCATTATCAATAAAATTAAAGTAAAATCACTAAAATTAAAAAATAAGACAAAAAAGACGCATTTAAAAAATATACGATGTAAATCGTTTGTAGTTGTCATTTTCTTAATCTTTTTTCGCTATTTTTGGTTTATCCGAATAATAAGCTTTGTAAACAAATGCAAATAAAACGATGTGAACAAGAATTACTGCGACAATTGCGGAATAAAGAATAGAATCTTGCGCACTATAACCCAATATCACTGAAATATTATCATCCATTATCAGTATTCAGAAAAGAAACGCTATTGGCCTATAGCAAAAAACAATAAGCTTTTATGGTTTATTCAAGAATTTAAAAAAAAACTTTAAATACCATACCTTCAAAAAAGAACTTTTTCAAAAAAAACATAGATCCCAAAGGGACCGAAATAATAGTCAGTGAGTATATTAATAAACCTTTTACTGCTGATTGAACTGTTTCATCACGCAAGTTAGGAATAAATTGATCCATGCAAACCTGCAACAATCCTAAACCACATTATCATTATCATTTGGATACCACATTTTAAGCTAAACAATAATCTTTGAAAATAAGAAAATAAATAAAAGAACAATCAAGAAAAATGATCGACCTGATTAATTTATGGATCTCCGAACTATACTTTTAAATCGATCGAATCAAATATTTTAATAATAAATTCAAAAAATTAATATAATTTTCTATTTCAAATTTTCTATTATCCTCATATCGTAATATTTTCAATCCACAAACAACTTAAATATTTATAAAAGTTTTTTCGTAAAATAAAGAAATATATATATATATGTCAGAAATAACATAGCAAATATAATATAATTTAAAATTAAAATCCAATAAAAAATTAATCATTTATTTATTTATGATTTAAAAAAAAAAAAATACACAAATTATGATAACACAAAAATCAAAAATCTTTCTATTCTATATGCCTCTGCTTTTTCGATGAATTGAAAATTTAAAGGCTTTTTCAAGTCTTAAACACCATTACCAAAAAAAAAAAAAAACCGAGGCATCTACATTACGAAATGAAACAACAAAAATTAGACTAAGTGACGAAACCATAAAGATAATAAATTATTTAGCGAATACCAGAATATTTTCATAATATTAAAGGATTCTTAACGCTGTTCTACGTCACGGATTATTTTGGCGATTTAGTGAATGGTACTATATATGAATATATATAATAATGGTACTATATATAAATTTTTTTGATAAAATATAAAGGAATAATGGATACGAAAATATCTATGCAAATCTATCTATTAATGATGAAAGCCACCAAACAGTGCTAATACTCCAATGTTTTATTATTTTATTATTTTTATACATAACTATATTAAATTTAGTAATTACCAAATTTAGATAAGATATAAATTTCTTTCTACATAAATTCATCGGCTCTCCAAAATCTCTCTATGAATTTTCAATAGAATAAACAGATTGTAGGTTAAGAATTCCCTTAAATTATCATGCACCGAAAGATTCATAATATATAATAAAAGTGATGTGATATATAATAAAAAATTTAAATATTAAACACTAAACAATAATAATAATTAAATCTAAAAGGTATGATATAAATATTTCTTTAGAAAGCGATGCTTCTATAAAAGAAAATATTTTTTTTCATTAAATTCTACTTAACGAACCATTAGCGATAACTATTAAAATCAAAGATAACTAATCTAATAAATTTCGCAAATATTTAAAAGATTCATCACCAAACAAAATGAATCTATTGATCTTTCTTCTTCATTTTTTCCAATTCTTTTTCTTCATTTAAAGCCGTTCGCATTAGACAAAACAATATCAAATAAATTACAAAAACAGAAATGCCCGCAGCCCATATGTTTGCTGTTAAATATTCGAAATCCAGAAAACCTAAAAAATTATGAAATTTTTTTTTTTACAGAAATAGAAAATGGCTCAATAAAAATTTACGGATTATGGAACTTTATCAGAGTAATCAATTAGCATAAAATATACAACTAGAAAAATGGTCGATTAATATCCGATATAATATTAACAGCAATTAACAGTAAAAAATATAAATTGAAGCAATTGAATTCCTCTCAAATTTTAAGGATGAAAGAAAAGAAGAAGAAAAAATTTAGCATAATTTCTAAAAAACAAAAAAAAAGAAAACAAACCATGGAAAAAGGACCGTAATGAAAGTAGAACGCTAACCGGTATAATAAGCATTGCAATACCATATATAACGAGATTACTTATAGCTTTTCCTTGTATCTCTGAACTGTACAACTGAACATCGAAGGTCTAAAATAAATTAGCTAATTAGATAAATTTTACGAATTCAATAATTTCAATCATCTCACAATTAATTTCAAAGATATGAAAAGTAAAACGCTAAATCAACCTTTTCTCGAATTTTATCGCTTAAATTGGATCCAAAACTTTGCGATTTTTGAGACAATCGATCCTCTTCATCATTACAACTCGAGTTACTCTCGCTATTAATCGAAATTAGACCATTTTGTATATCTGACAAAGTACTCGGCTCACTTCCACTACTATCTGCAAGTTGGCAGTTTTCATCCCCATTATCACCAATAATATTTGCCCGATTGTCATGCAAATTGAATCCATTCTCATTTCGATTCTCATCACCTATATTATTATCGTCCACATCATTTAAATCCTCTCCTCCGTCTTTCGATTCCTCCGACATATACCTGCAATTGTGTATACAATTTCTAATAATTAATAATAACAATTCCTTATATTCGTCAAAATAATTTTTGGTAAAATTACTTCGAAATACGAAAAAATTCAATATTCCAACTTTAACAATAGAAAAATTTAAGAAGTATTTATTTTGAATTTACCATACAACAACTCAAAAATCAACTGATTTTTAATCGATTTTTAGTTGAAAATGAGCTAAAAAACGTTAGAGGAATCCAAGCCAGTTATTCCTGCTTCGCTTTAATGAACATTACCAAATTAGGATTTTTTTTCATTAACTAATTTCCTTTCGCCGTATCCATTCTCATAAATTTTCTTTAAATTTCCCACAAAATCAATGAAATAAACCTATAAATACGGTAAAATCGAAAAATGAATAAAACTAAAATTTCAATAAAAATTTCCTGAAACATAATTATAAAAAATAAAAAAATAAAATGACAATATTTTGATTGTTGAAACAAATTCATCATAAAAAACGAAGCAACATAATAGATATCATTGCATGATGATATAAATAAAAAATAAAAAACAATTTAACAAACAAATGATGACGGAACATGTAGCAAAGAAACAGCAGAAAGATTATTGCTACTTATTGCTTTGATTATTCCAAGCATTTCCAATTCAATAACAGATCTATAGAAACGATACAAATTATCAGTATTAGGTATTTGACTAATTTCTTTGATGAATTCTTTAAACCATCCTTTCAATGGTACGCTTTTACCACTTGTCCAAAATGTTTGCAATGTTTGATAAGCGACACATATGTCTAGTTGTGATAAGCATGACTGCAAAGAATAATAAATAAGAATAACAGCCTAAAAATTGCAAATTGCACTTTTTATCAAGCATGCAAAAATTAAAATCCAAAAATTTCATGACAAATTATTTTAAACTATTGTGCAAACAAGAGAAGAAAAACATACAGTGGAGACGCATTCCTTATGGCGCCGACCAATGACATATTCCAACGATTCATGAACTGATGGTATACAAAGTCTGCATAAATCCGAAGCACCATGAAGCAGTGAATCTTTTAATGCTGGAATTTTATCGTAAGGAAGAAGAAAAGATGAAAATGCCTGAAACATAAAATAAATTCAATTCATTGAAATCAACAGAAATTGTTCCAACTAATAATTAAATAATCTAATATTAATTTATTAATTTTAAAAAAATATAAAACCATAAAAATCAATATAATGAAAATATAATAAAAATTAATAAAAAATACAATTAAAAAATAATAAAAAAATTAAAATAATGATAATACATTAATCACATTAATCTGTGTAATAGGTAGCTTTATTTTCTCCTTTAATGCTGTGTTACAAGTGCTGGGTTGATATATAAAAAAACAATACGTGTAAAAAAAATAAGTTCAAACTAATAAAGTATGTTTCTTAAAAATTAATGTTGTTAAACCTTTCCAATCACAATCTAAAATCTTTAAGTCTTCAAATTCATGTTAGTAATTTTAGAAATAAAAATACTCATATATTATTTATTTAACATACTTGAGTTATTAACTTCAAAAACGTTTGACGATCACCAGATAGCACATCCAATTTCTTTTTTTGCAAAATCTTTTCCTAAAGTTTTATTCATTTTAATCATTTTTACGGATACTAATATTCATATAAGGATACTAAAATATTTAGTCTTAAAAAAATTAACTTTCATTCTTTGTTGCATCTCGTCATGTGTCATCTTCAGAGGAGTTGTTGCAGGTTTTGCTTGAACTTGACAAAGAACAGAACGAGCTTTCTCAATTCTAACTTCCAAATGCTCAAGATCATCTTTCAATTTCTAAAAAATTTTCATAATACATTGAAAAAAAATCCACTGACCTCAATTTTAGTAAGAATAATTTGATTGAATTAAATAAATCAAAATTCAATTCCCGATTCTCAATTTGAATTAATACTCACTGTCATAGCATCCGCGAGTGGTTTATTGAGATTCCGAACAAGAGGTATTATTTTTTCTAACGCATCTATCATTTCCACCGCATCCCACGTTAACCAAAAACCTTTCCATGAGCTGAAAATATAAGTAAAAACAAATATTTCAAAGGTGATTTCAAACATGTCTTTTCTTCTTCAATAAACTGTCGATAAATATGATTTCCAGGCAAAAGAAAAATGAATAAATTGGAATAAATAACTACATGAAATTTATACTAAACAATCAGCAGGATAAAATAAAATAAAAATGATCAAAATAAAAATGAAATAAGTGAATTTACGAAAATATGTCGTTTTTACTCGAAAAAAAATTATTCGTTTGTATAGCTTGATGGAGATCATAAATATCTTTCATTTGTGATGAAAAACCACAAGAAAAATCAAACAAAAGTTCGAGGAATGCCTTATATTGATTGAGAATTATAAGCGAATTATCCTGAATGCATTAGTTTAAAAAAAATAAAAAAAGAAATTTATTTAAAAATTTTTCGAATAGAACAACAATACAACACACAAAATAAAATAAACGAAATAATGAACAATTTTGCGCCTTAAACTTCTGTATCTTAAACTTTTAAACATAAATGACAAAAATAATATAGAAAAATAAAGAATGATGATCGTAGAATAAGCTAACTTACGTCTAAATTATGTTCCCCCGTTTCTGATTCTATATAATATTGCAGCATCATAAAACTAACGATTTTTTTCACTTCATCAATGGAAAAAGAAACATCTAAAAATCTTCTCCTCACAATTTCCAGTAATTTTCCATCAACTTTGAACTGGAAAAAATAAAACTGCATAGAGTTTGTAGTTCCACAAAATGATAACAACAAATACCGAAAAATATCGATTTTAGAACCATCAAAAATTTAGCAAAAATATCGTTGATAAAGCAAATATATGGTTTACCATAATATTTTATGATTCCATAAAATATTGCGAACTAAATTTTTTTGTTTTGAAACTATTTTATCAAAACTTTTATTAACAATAAATTACAATAAATTTATTTCCTTAAATAAAAATTTACCTCAACTCCAGGATCAAAAGCTATTAGATCCGTAACGGCATTTAGAAAAGTTATTGGCGATGGGAACTGAAACTGTTTAATAGACATTCGAGAATATGACTGATAAGAGCATCGTGAATATATAGCGCTTAGATCACCAGAGATCGTTATAATTATAGCTAAAGGTATTTTCCTAGAAAAACATTTCATATTTAACCCGATGAAATGATTAAAAAAACCATCTTGCAAATCCAAATAATCTATAAATAACATCTACAAAAATAATCACTTATTAAGATTGATTTAATTTTTTACAAAATAAAAAAGCGATGAAATTTCTTTGAAAATTTATTGAAAATTAAAAAAAAACTTTATTTAAAGGGTGAAAAATCACCAATTGAAAAAGTTTCATCGTAACATAATAAATATAAATTTACCAGTTATCATCAGCAATAAGTGATATAAGATCATCAATAAAAGAACCAGATATACTTTCAATTTGATTTAAAATTATACATTTTCCTTCCTGAAATCTATCTATTATATTAAGAGCCATATAAAAAAAAGGAAGGAAGCTAAAACAGAAAAATGCTTTCATAAAATACTCACTGGCGTTTTACGTATCATTTGTACAACTAAATATATAGATGGTACTGGATGTCCCAGTTTAATCAATCTTTTGCCATATTTTGCACTGATAAAATCCTCTAAACGAAATCCTTCAAAATTTCCGCATCTGACAATACCAGTAGGAACATCTAAAATAATAGTGTTTCTTAACTCCTATTCAGTTTTTTTCTACATTGTATTTTGCTGATGCCAATGAAAAATATAACAGAGCCGATACAAATGACCTAGCAACTAACACAAAATACGAGAAAAACTCTTCCATCATAGAGCACAATACCGACTATTGTATCTATCTTCAAATACCAAGTACCATCACAAAGTGTTGCCACTTTTCGCTGATTATGGCGCGCTCTTCGTTGCCCACAACAGAAGTTGACAAATATTTTGTTATTACACTCTGTGATGGATGGCGAGGTAAGCCAATTAAGGCCTGGATTAGATTTCTAGGTGGGCCAGCGATATATGGACTTAGACGATAGAAAAAATAATGACTTCTATTGCAATCAGCGATAGCACATAGAATCGCGCAGCTAAGAAACGCATATCTTAAATCGCATATGTGAGAAAACAAACCTCGAAAATTTTTCGTCTCCAACCAACTATTCTCAATAAATTCCATAATTTCTTTTAAAGGATTTTCACAAAGTTTTCTTATCGATTTGTCGATTAATTCTTCGAAACGATTAATTGAACGCTTATAATTCAATAATTTTTGAATATTTAAATCGTTTAATTTATAATTTTTATTTCTCCTCTTTTCCAATAGATTTTTTCGTTTACCACGTTTAAATTTACAATATTCCATTAACTGAAATTTTTCGAAAAAAAAAATAAAAACGTTTTTATCTTTTTACGAAATTTTCAATGTGAAAATTTTTGTTTTTCAGAGAAAAAAAAAAGTAAAATCGATTATAATTTTAAATTTAATAAATGCTCTAAGTTTCGCAAAAAGAAATTCTTCTTCTTTTATGGTAAAAAAAACACTAATAAAAAGCAACAAACGAGTTTCGCCAAAAGTTTACTGAAAAACGCAATGGTACTTCACCTAAAAACAAAAAAAACCTAATGTACGAATTATTTGCAGCCATTTGCACTCAATGAACAAAAATTTATGGCCGCAGCCAGAGAGAGAACACAGCCGAAGTATTCTAGGATTTGGCTATGGTTGTGGATTATGGTGTGAACCAGAATTTTGATATTAGGACGAGTTTCAATAACTTCCTAACATTTGAATTTATCTTTATGATATTTTCATGAAATTTGCAAATAATTTTATATTTCACGAAAATTAGGCCAAAAATAGGAAAAATTAATTAATTGCCAAGAGCAGTCAAAAAGTCAAAAAATAGTCAAAGTTTCTTTCTTGGTACCACACGAAATTCGATTATATCGCTTTAATGACCCATTCATCGGCACTTTCTTTCTTTTTCCTTGAATTATTAGCAACGTCCTCTTGGACAACGCTTTAAAATCTCCGTAATAGTATTCCCTCAAAAATTCCCTCCTAGTACCATTCGGAATTCCACTATTATATTCTACTAATACACGAAACCCAACCATTCTTTTCTCATAGATCGCATTATATTCTATTTGATAGAAACAATAGGCATATCAAGAACTAAAAAAAGTTCCAAAGTGGTTTTTTCATAATTTACAGTTAATTTTAGGATTTTAGAATAATTCTAGGATTATTTACAATTTTGTTTTAATTAATAATTAATTTAAAATATTCCGAGAATGCCTTAGAGGATAGAATGACTGAGTGGATTGAATTGGAATTTTCGCATGAAACTTTGTAAAAATTCAAGTGATGCTGGTAACTGACCTATAGCTCTATAGCTAGGAGAATCTTTGGCGGAATTTGTTATACATGATTATTGATAATAATGATTATATATGATTATTGATAATAATGATTATAATCGGGTTAGTAATAATGATTATTATGATAATGATTATGTCGGGTTCGTTAAGTCAGCGGAGCGAGCCTAATAAAAATAGAGGGCCTTTAATGATAATTTGCTAATATCGAAATAATTATTTATAGAATATTTCAATATTTACTGGATTTTTCCAGTTGTAATTTTATGAAATATTTTATCATAAAACGATTATATAAAAATATTGTATAAAAAATAAAACAAAATAGAAATTACAATAAATGCGAAATTTCAAAAAATTTTCATCAAGAAACCAATAAATCTTGCCAAGGCCATAAAAGCTTAAAAACTTCTGCAATTTTCTCCTTTTCTTTTCTTTAGAGCCATAGAAAATTTATGAATTTCCAAAATTTTTTTCTTTATATGATGAAGTTAATTCGCAGCTGCTATTGACGAAAGCATTTGCATCTGGAAAGATTATGAAAAAGAATTATGGTAGACTGTTTCATTAAGCTATCCACGAGCGATGCAAGTATTATTTCCATCATCAAGTGATTCATTGCCAAAAAACATCTCATCCTAACTAAAAAATCAGTGGAACAAGCCTAATCCAGAAATGGTGAGTATTAATCAGCTACACCTATCCATTAGATTTTTACCACGTTTGAGATTTTTGCAAAATAATTTGTCGATGCCAGTACTTCGAAATATAATGAATGTGGTGTCGGAGACTATTATATAGGAATTATGGAGAGGTTTTTGCAATAATAAAGTTAGATTTATGAATGCGCAGTGTTAAGAGGATAGATTTGTAATAGATGGAAAGTAAATTTTAATAGATCGGGGTCTATGGAACTTTTAAGATAGTCAGAAGAGGGTTACTGTGAAAGTATAACAGTGATCGAGATGTTGAGCGACTCAATACAAGCATAATTTCTCAGTTTTGGCGAGGTTAGAGGAGATTTAAACAGATAACAAATGAGGATGAGAGAGAAGGGGAAAGGTAGGGGAGAAGGGGGGAGGGGAGGAGAGAATGGAGACTATTTGATGAACATCAAAGTTAACATTCGCAACTTTTTTTTCCTATCACCAAAATCTTAAATGTTTGACCCATAAGTATTTGATATTATCCTTTTGTTTTGATTATATCGAATCAGGTCGCGATACATTTTGCTGATAAAATATAGCATTTAACTCGTTTTTATGCTATAATTTAAAGGTAAATATTATATTAATTTATATTTATTTTTATTTCAATTAAAATTCTGACATGAAGAAAAACAAAATCGGATTGTTTTTCCAAATATCAAATCCTTTCAAATATCAATTGATAAGAAAGGAAATAATCAAAAATTTACCGTCTAAAATTAGCTAAATCACAATATAGAATCATTCTATTCTTATTTTTTTTCTGATAACTCTTATCATTTCCAAGTTGGCCTAATTCTACTGGCGTAAGATATCTCCAAGTTGTATTTCGATCCGACATCATTATCGACACTTTTAGATGGCCATTTTTTCCACTATTTAAATCCCTACATATATCGCTAATTCACCTATACGTTCAAAATCTTTCCTGATTGGCTATCAGTCCACGTTTTGATTGGCTCACCTCGCTTTTGACGCCATCCATCACAGAATTTTTATATTTAATATCAAGTAATATTAATTTCAATCTATTTTATTTGCATCATAATTTCCTATAGACGAGATAGATAATCGCTGAATACGAGTTTAGGTTATCTTTTAGGTTATCGTAGCGAAATAAGTTATAAATTCTTAAAATTTATGGTTTTTCTAGTTTCTTTAAACTAGAATTTTTATTTATTCAACTAAATGCAATAAATTAAAAATGATTATAAAAATAAAATTGAAAAAAAAAAGGGAAATAAAAATGCTAATAGCAATTTAGTTAATGCATTTATTAAAATTTATTCGATTAAAATTTATTACAACATTATTCGATCATAAATTAGAAACATAAATTTGTGGTTCATAAAACCTGAGGTGAATGGTAACTAATATATTTCCGTGAAGATCGCATTGAACATTTCACCGAATCAACAACTGCTGTGCATATTATTGCGTGGGTTTTAACTTCAAAGAGAATCGAATCTTGATTGATCTTGCAATAATTTATTAAATTACACTAAATTATTTTGTAAAAAAATATAAAATTTTCACTTTATTCATAAATTTTAAAAATTTTGTTCATTTCAATCGAATCGAGTAAGTAAGTAAGTAAATAAAAGTAAAATGAATAAGTAAGTATGGTACGAACAATCTTAATAGAAAATATGCGAATATAAGGACAATAATATTAGGTAAGTAATTCAAGTAATTCATCGCATGATTATCATATCACTGAATCGACGTAAATCTCTATAATATAATATAATAATAACAAAAATTAAAAATTTACCATAAATTTACAAAGCTCAATTAAAAATTAATAAATTTCAAAACAATTTAAATATAATAATTAAAAATGGCAAAAAAAGAGCAAAGCCAAAGGACCAGTTTCTTCGCTTGCACCACTTGTTTTTTTATTCTCTTCTTGATAAAAATAAGACTTATCATTAAACTCTAAATAGGCGGCTATAATTTTATCAAATGGCATTAGCCAATAAAATAAGTTATATAGACTAGGAATATTTTATACTATAAAAAGAAGAAAAATTATAGTTATTTTTTTAGTTTAAGTTATTTTACTGATAACAAGTAATAATAAATGTTAATATCTGAGAATTTAGGCATCAAAAAATCTATTTTATACTATAAAAAGAAGAAAAATTATAGTTATTTTTTAATTTAAGTTATTTTACTGATAATAAGTAATAATAAATGTTAATATCTGAGAATTTAGGCATCAAAAAATCTATTTTTTATTTTATAAAAATGTATTTTTTTAATTTATTTTTTATTTATTATATAAGAGAAATAAGAGGAAAAGAGAAACCTATTAGAGATATTTAATGATGGAAAGAATTGAATTGATCAAGGACGATAAGAAAAGAGAAAGAGAGGACAGCTGACGACGGAACGAGAAATATACTCGTTCAATGAATTGTATTATTTATTGGTCATTTTTAGTTTATTCGACTATTTGATTCTAGAAATGCACGGTCGTGTATCACGTTTAAGACGTTCATTATCACGTAGCACGTTATTTAACTTATCAAAATCGCAATTATCACTCATTGATCTTTCGACGCCAACTCAAAATAGCTTATTGGTTTATAAGTTTGCTGTATGTTTTTTTTTTATTTTTTAAAATTTTCATATAAATCATTATTGAGATAAAATTTTATTTCAAATTTTTATTGTAAATTATTTAAAATTATTCTTTTTTGCCCTATCCATTATCATTATTACCTTATCAATCCATTATCTTTATCATCTTATATATTCACTTTTTTTGAAGAACATTCACCATTTCTCTCTCTTTATTGACTCGTAGGACCAGATAAATTTTTCTAGGCAATTATTTAAAAGTATAGTATCATCGGTATTTTTAAAAGACAGGTTTACTTGTGCCAAGCGTAGTCTCGCAGTTTCCACCTTCCTCCATAAAATGAGTAATAACTCACTGAGTTATTTTATCTATTATTACTAGTTATTACTATTTGATAGAACAATAATTTTCATTGATAATTTTGAATGATAAAAAGTTATTCGATAATTCCATTGATAATTTTCATTAAATTGCACTATATTTAATAAAATCCATATTTTTAAAAAATATTTCTTATTTTATTTTATTAATAAAGGTATTATACCGTAACAATTATGTAGTATTTACTGAATTTTTTCCATTAAAAAATAATCTGAAATGAAATTTTCACCTTTTTTTCGGTAATTTTCGATAGTGTTTCTTAACTCCTATTGCTTCTGGTACTTCTCGAATTTTTTATATTGTTTCTTCCTGATTTTCCTATCTTTTAGTATTATTATATATCTATCATTTCTATTCATAAGCCTCGAGTTTCATTTTTCCCTAATCTACCTTATGAATACGATTTTTAATTTGGCTTAAATGAAAGTTTGGCGAAATTTGTGGAATTCACAGAGTAAATCGAAAGAAATACGTAAATAATTGGTAAAACTATTCGTGACATACATAGTCATGAAGTATTATCGATATATATATATATATTATATAAGGGATTTTTTTATATTTATAATATTTTCTCATATCTTTTATTATAATTATTATAATACCTTTCTCACACCTTTTCATGGTATAGGTCATCCTCAAATCTTCAGTGCTCTACGAGAGGCCTAAATGAAACTTGATGGTTCCGCACAATATCTAAGCTGCTGCTAGCAATGCAGTCTTCTGGATATGGTTCTCTGATATTGCTCCTGGAACCTATTTGAGCCACTTTTCTAGTTTCACTCCTGTCTCCTATCACAACTCCTAGTGCTTCTGCTATTTCTCTAGCTTCTCATATTCTTTCTTCCTACTATTCCTGTATTACTATATTGACCACCATTGCTAATTTTTGTTTGTATATATTTACAATATGTAAAAGCGAAAATTTTTAAACAAAAATTCCGATAAGATACTATTATTATATATTTGAAATCGATCAAATTACGCAATTATATACAATATGATTTACGCAATTATACAATATAATATTATATTAATAAGGCCAATTTTGGCTTTGTCTTATGAGACAAAATTTGCCAGGACAAAGTTCACTTGGCTATACAATTGGATCGCCAGCATCAGCTAGGATTTTCGAAAGACAGAGAAATGAATCATAGCGTCGAAATTCCGAGATGAGAGCAATAATCCACTGAATTATTTAAGAATATAGTTTTTTATATTTAAAATTTTTTCCATTTTTTTTCTATTTAAAATTATTCTAAAAATTGGTTGTTAGAAAAATTATTTATAATATAATTCGGTTTTATTTTAACAATTTTGATAAAAATAAAAAAAATAAACGGCTGAAAAAATAAAGAATAATTTTAATGATTAATAATAAAGTTTTTAAAATTAATTTTTTTTATTCGAATTTGGATAATTACAAAAATAAAATATTTTTAAATGAACAAACAATAAATATAAATATAAATAGATGAATTACAATATAAATAAATAAATATAAGAAAATAAATAAGTGTGCTATTTTTCATTGTTGCAATATATTATAGTATTATATTATGAAGCTTTTCAATACATTTTTTCCTAAAAAAATATTGAAAATATTGAAAATTTAAAATTGATTTGATGATATCTATTGGTATATCTATTTATTAATATTAAATCAATATTAATATTAATATTAAATCCATTGGTTTCCACACTATATCCATCGATATCCATGGTGAATCCGCCATTATCCATGCCAAATCCAATGGTGTCGTGCAAAATATCAGTACCCATGCCAAATTTAGCAATATCCATGCAAAATTCCTCGTTATCTATGCCAGGTCCAACGGTATCCATGCCAAATTCAACGGTTATCATATTTAATCCGTTGTCTTTATTCGTTTAACTCGGCCAGGCAATTCATAATTTTATTCATAAAGCCTTTTTGCGTTTATAATCGGATTTAAATCAAATCAAAACTCAAAATCACTTGCTATTTAACATCTGGTAATGAAATAGTGAATCAAATATTTAAATTTATCTAAAAATTTTATCATTTATCATTTTATCATTTCATTTAGTTTTATATTGAAGTAGTTTAAAGTTATTTGCAATTATTTTTTTTTTTGAATAATCGTTAGTCATTGCAAATTACTTTAAACAATTTCAATAATGTTAAAAACAGATGATAATATTTTTGCAAAAATTTTTTTTTACTAAGAACTGAGCATTCACCATTTACTGATTATTGTCGGACCGGAAAAATTTTACCATGGAGTTATTTACGATAAAAATGCAGGCGGACACCAGCAATTTAAATAATTTTAATAAAAAATTTCAATAATATATATAAATATGTAGTAACCATTAATAATAATGATATTAGACAGAAATAAGGTTCTATTCCCCGTAAGAGTAAATCTATTCAAAAATCCGAGTGGTACTAGCGGTTCATCTATTTACAGTTCTTCTTTCGTCAAAGGACTTCCTAGCATATTTGTCCAGTATGATAAGTTAGCGGAAAGAGTAACCAGTAATGATAAGGGTTCTGGAAAAAAAATAATATTAATTTCGATTTAGCGATAATAATAATAAATAATAACATAAATAATCATAAATAATAAAAAGGATTTGAATTCAGCTTTTCTCACCATTGTTGATTATTCGCTATCTCCATTGATTACATGGATAAGGCACCACTCGTCTTTATGGTGCAATACCAAAGAATAAGAGTAGGAAGCCTAAGCCACTTCTTTTTCCACTATCTAAGTCATTTAAATATGTGCTTTTAATGCAATACTTTACTAAAATTCCGTTTCTAAATCTTATCGAGCAATCGCGTCGATCAAATAAATCATCATAGGAATCATTAACATAATTTATTCCAACGTCCCAATTTCATTCATATAATGCATTTCAAACTAATTTTATCCATTTTCTATAATAATTATAAGCGTTATCCTAGAAATTTGGGAAAGGTTCATTTGCCTTTTATAGAAAACTAAAAATTTTTTCTAACCCCATTTTTCATAAAAAAAAACGATCTCTATTCAGTTTTTTTTGATTTTTTTGATTGGCATTTGTAACAAATTTCTTTAGAAATAATTCCCATTAAATTGCATGGACTAGAGAAATTTTACCAGCGAATAACTTCACAATAAGAAGGATCGAATCGCTAGTATAACTCAAAAAACGCATTCACCGCTGCTGAGAATAGAACTTTAATATCAGCGCTTCGAAATGAGAAAAATAACTCACTGAGCTAATTGTTGGATTCTTTTCTTAATTTTTCGCTTTTTGGCCTTAATTCTTGGCTTTTGTGCAAATTAGATTAAAATTCTTATTGAATTTTTCTTTATTTTCTTCATTTTATTTTGAAAAATGGAAAATTTATGGATGAAAATAGAATATTTTTAAAAAATTTCCAAAATTTTCATCGCTAAATCTTTTATTATAAAAATTTTTTGAAAAATTAATATAAAATGAAATTTTATATTATAATTGATGCATGTATCATCGTTATTATTTACGATGAAATTTTACGATTTTATTTGATTCATAGCAATTATCAACAGAAATTTTTAATATTTCATTATTGATTTCATGTAAAAATTTATCTCATCAAAAAATTTTTTTTTTATTTAAAATTATTTTTATTATATTTAATTAAAATTTAATATGAGAAGAAATTTTTATAATAAAAATATATATATATATATATAATGAATAGAAAATTCGAATAAATCGAATAGCAATCGGATAATAAACAATTATTTACTTTATTTACTTTTACAGGTAAGTCATTCACTAACTTACTTATATTTTGGTTATTTACTTATCGAAAGAAGTGAATTAAAATAAATAGAATTAAAATAGGAACATAGAACTGAAATTTCTAAAGTATAAATGGAATTTATTTTTAAACCAAATTGTTGAAATCATTTTGAAAAAAAATAATTATTTTAAGCTTAATAATTTAACAATTTTTATTGAAAGTTTTATTTTTTTTAGTTTTTATTTTATTTTTTTAATTTTTATAAAAAAGTTTTATTGATTAATTAATTTATATTTTATTAAGTTAAAAGACGATGTTTTTTTTGTAATATTTTATTAATTATTCAATATTTTTAATTTTAAAATTAAAGTTAAAATTTTAAATATATTTTTAAATATTTCAATTTACTGATTAAATATGAAATAGTTCGATGAAATATGAAAAAAAATTTATTTTTTTTTATATTTTTTGCAGACTCCTTCAAATTTTCCACAATTGAGGCGATTTGTTCAAATGAACAATGAATTTTTACGAGAAATTATATCGATATTTGACGAAAGGTTATTTATATTTTTAATTATTTATTTTTAAATTTTTGTAATATTATATATTTTTAATATTTTAATATTGTAAAGCATCTTTCAATATTTTTTTAGAATATTTTTAAAATTTTTGTATAACTGAAAAGTTACTTACTCGCTCGTTTACTTTGTTTTTATTTACTCACTTATTTACTTCCACTTATTCATCTCTAATCATCTGTTCTGATAAAATTCTGATTTAGACTGATTGTTATCTATGATAGAAAATTTTTTTTTGAAAAAATTACGACAATTAGTGGGACTTAATTAAAAATTTTGACCTTGATTTTGACCTTGAGAAGGAAAAACATCGTGTGTAAGAAAAAAGAAAAGATCATTTCTCATTTTCTTTTTTTTTTTCTGTTTCATTAAATTGCAATTAGATGGGAGGTAGAAAATAATAGACGAAATTAATTCAGTTATCGCTCATAATTTCTGGTTCGATTCAACTAATTAGTACAATGAGAGAAATTTTTGTTTAAAATCCACTGGGCGATAGAAGTTCAAGTGGATCTTAAGTGGATCATTGCTCGGATTTACTCCTAAAATATGTTGGATCTAAGTCATAATGCCTAAATATGATAATTTGTAAATAACGATTTTGCTATCCTTCGTTTTGATCAATGATTTTCGAATGCAACAATCATAAAATATAAAATTTTATAAAATCGTAGTAAAGCAAAAATTTCTATATTATAAATAACGAATATTAAAATTGATATATTAGTGATAATGATTAGTGATTAGTGATTTAGATATTTCATTGAAAAATTCTATTAAAATATATATATTTTAATAAAAAAGATTACGCATGATTAAAGGTGATAATGGATATAAATTCAATACAAACTGGTTTTAAAATTTTCATTTTATTTTAGTCAAACCGCTCATAATCACTTTTAAAAATTAAATGAACTAGTTCTCATTATTTAATATAAAAAAAAATATATTTATATTAAATGTTCAGAGAGAATTATTGTAGGATTAGTGCACGAATAAGTGTGAAAAATATTTAATGACTGGTACAAACGAGAACAAATTTTATTAATTTAACGAATAATTTTTTATTGAAAATGTAATTAGTTAATAAATTAGTTAATAAATTGAAATTGATAAATTATTATTTTCTAGTGAATAAAATAACAAAGAAATAAAAAGTAAATAAAAATAGAAATTTAATAAGTAACATATAAATTTTATAAATAAATTAAATATATTAATATTGATATATAAAAAATATAAAAGTTAATATATATAAAAATTAGATTGTAAACTGTTGTTATTGCTTGCATATCTTTTGTTATTTATAAATCTTTCTTATCATTGTGTTGATAAAGATAATTATGATAAAGATAAAAGTATTTGTCTTTTTTTTTTTTTTAAGGGCTCAACTCGATTTTGCATATTCAAAAACTCTACAAAAACTTTCAACTAAATTGCATAAAATATCACAAAATGCTCAAGGGTTAATATTTCTTGAATTTTATTTTAAAAATTATTCTAACAAAAAATCTAGAAATAGGAAAAAAATTACAAAAAATTAAAAATTAAAATTTAAAAAATAAATGTGAAAATTATCGAAATAATTGTGAAATTCTATTCAATAATAGATAATTTTTTTAAAAAATATTTTAGAAAAATAGATTTAAAAGATATTTTCAGTTTAAACTTGCATAATAAATATAATTAAATAATTTAAATAAGTGATATATATATATTAAATAAATATATATATATAGTAAATAAATATAATATTTTTTATAATAATAATTTTTAGATAATAGAATTTTTTAATAATATAATTTATAAGTTCATAAATAATTTTTTAATAATTTATGTATTTTTTAATAATTTGATAAAAACATATAATTTACAAATTATTTTTAAAAATTTTTGCATATTTTATATATTTTTATATATTTACTTTGTATATTGTTATTTATTTTTTCCAATATAGTTCAACATTTCTGGTTAGAATCTTTCTATTGGCTTATCACTTAGACATAAAGATGAGTTGCTAGCACTAGCGGGAATTTTGAATAGTAGATTTTGCTATAAAGGGGATTTTGAGTCTTTAGGGAATTGGTGCAACTGCCCATTAGGCTATTCCACCTCTAATTTTTTATAAAATTTTATATTAACTGCCTGTAATTCAACGAGTTTTCAATGAGAATTTTCTAGAACAATTGATCAAGGCTGGACGTGTGTAGCTGAACAATTCGAAGCACAAGCAACGATTCATACGTTTGTTTATATTTCTTTGCTTGAATTTGTAAAAAAAAATTTTTTTTTTATAAAAGTATCATTACTGGTTTGGCTAACTCCTCTGGCTTGTCGCGCTAGAGAGATTTGCCAAGAAATCCCTTGATTATAGAGGCAGCCATTATCCGACTTTTTCGAACACGTTTACTTCACGCCGGGATTATAATTTCAGCATCGGCGCTTCGATTTTAGCAACAACCCTCTTAGCCATTCAATCCGTTCTTCTTTTGCTTCCCTTCGTTAGTGCCACAATAGTGGCACAAGAAGGGTGAATTTTTTTAGTAAATTTTATTTAAATTTAATAAATTTAGTAAATTTAATTTAAATTTAGTAAATTTAAAATAAAAAAGTCAAAAAAGCTTAAGTAAATAAGTCTGATAATTCTAATTCATCTGAGAAAAGTTGAATAAAGAATGAATAAAATTTTTAAATTTCTTTTACTAAAAAATCGAATTTCAATTAAATATTTTAAATAAAAATAAAAATATTTTATTTAATCAACGCTTTTTTTCTTTTAAAAGCGCTTATCATCATTCGACATAATTTGTTGCATATGAGAGAAAAAGCGAGCCAAATTTTTCTAGGCAATCACTTGGCAATATTTGTTTTCTAGACGAGTCGTTAACTCGGATAACTCGGATTTTTGAAAAATATATTATTCTTGTGAAGAGTGGAATCTCAGTGTCGACTCCTCGATATTTAAACGTTAATCCCCATTGAACTATTCCATTTCCTAAATATTACCATATCATTTAGTAGGTTAAAATTTTTATAGGAACCTCGGTTCGGCAATTCACGATGATATTGTTCAACCACTTCGCGCGATATTTAATTCACAATATCAAATGATTCGCGCTGTAAATTATTTCTTTTTTCAATAAAAACTCTTGATTTTTGGTTAAAAATAACGGAATTTTTATGGATTTGAGTAAAACAGTCCAATTTAACTTTCATATTTATATCTTTTTTTTTTAATTTTATTTTGATATTTATTTATTTATTTATAATATTTATTTATGATATTTATAATATTTGATATTTATAGTGGTAATCAACATATTTATCAAAATTATATTTATTATTCTATTTTAATTCATAAATAAAGTTTAAAATTTTAAAATTTTTATACAATTATAATAATTTATTTTTTTAATTTAATTGTAAGGTTAAAGATTTAAAATTAAAAATTGATATATTTTTAAAATTTTTTTATAAAATGAAAATAAATTTGTAAATTATTTCTCGTAGACGGATCAACTTGTCGATCGCGAATTAAAAAGAATGAATGATAAGCAATCCGAAACATTCAAAACCAAACGGCAATTATATAATTGGAGCCATGACCTTGAAAAAGTCGAGCAATTAATTGATAAGGATAATTCTTCAAATATAAAAGTAGGTTTAGGTTGAAACAATGAATTTACAAATTAGAGCAAATTCGAGTAACGCAAGCTATTTTATTTTTTTAAAAAATTTAATGATTTATGGCATTTACCTAAGAGCATTCATCATTTTTGGTCGGGCTAGCTGCTTATCACTAAGTTATCACACCAGATAAATTTCAAAAAGCCACAGTCAGTTAATGATAGAACTGGTGAGAGGGTAACTTGCTAACTTACACCATCCGATAATTTGTTATGATAACTTTCCATTTCAGCTTTCGGTGAAAAAAAGAAAATTACTGGAGCAGGTGACAAAAACAGAGCAAACATATGTTGATGAAACTATTGAATGTGAAAAACAGCGACGAGTTGTTCATGGTGTTCTTCGAAAAGGTGTCGAACGACTTGAGACTATTGAAAAACAACGTTTAGCGCATTCTCAAACCGCTCTGGGTAGATTTCAACGGAAAATGGCTCAACTTGGACCAAATCTTAATATAGTAATTTTTTTTTTTAATTTTTTTTTTTTATGAATCTTTGAAATAGCGAAAAAGTATATATCATAATAAGTTTCATGGAATCCATTCATGAAAAATCTTTGAATTTTAATTTCAACTTTTTAAATTTAGTTTTTTTAATTTTTTTTTTAATATTTCAGCTATTTGAAAGGCATATGACTTCATTAAATAATTCGATTAATGCTGATCCTGTGGAGCATATTACAAATCTTACACCAACTTCCTCTGCACATCATATTTCTTATTTATGCGATTTTCCTGTGAGTATATTTGTATATAACTGTTTCTTCACTAGAAGCTCGAAAAATTTGAGGCATCTCTGATTATATGAAATTAGTCTGAAATTTAGAAATTAAGGATTATTAACATAGCAAAAAGAAAGTCTAGAATTTGTAGGGTCTTCCAAATATAATATATTATACAGCAAAAATTTTAATAGGCTGAAAACTTTGGTGAAATTATTGGTGCTCAACGACGACGATGGACTTTAGAACGAATAAGTTCACTGCTTCAAAAAGAATGCGAAAAGCGGCAAGAAAATATTCCAGATTACTCGATTTCCAATACTGAAAATAATTTCAATAATTTTGTAAAATTTTTTTAAAAACTTTTATTTCGGTTTTTTTTAATTTAAAAGATTCTAAAATTTAATAATTAAATTTCTTTCTTTTAATAAATTTTAAATTTTTTCTTAAATTTATCTCTTATTTTTGAATTTTTGAGGAAAAAATTAAATTTATTAAGTTGATAAATAATTTATTCATTTAATAATTTGAAACAATTTTCCAAGATTACAAACATTTTAATAGATTTTTTTAATAAAAAAAGGAATAAAATTAAGTTTTTTTAAAACGAAAACTAATAAAAATTCAGAAAAAAATTTCTATATTTTTAGAAATTTGGAAAAAAAAAGAAAAATATTATGATATATATTATGGAAAATGTTATGATATATATTATGGAAAATCATATTTTATTTTCTATAGTTTCTGAAAATATTATTTATTTATTTTATTATTTATTATAATTATTTATAATTATTTAAATGAGCTATTATTATTATTAGCTGTTGTTATTATTATTAACTATTATTATTATTACTACTATTATTATTTTTATTATCATTATATTATTATTAGTAATTGTTGCTATTATTCTAATGGTTACCATTATTATTGTTTACATTATCGTTGTTATCATTATTATCATCATTATCATTATTGTTATTTATTTATCTATTTACCCTATATTTTTTTCCGAAAAAAATATTTTATGGAATTTAGGCGCTTCATGAATTCATTGAATTTATGAGTTTCAAAATTGATGAAGCATTAAGAAATTTAAATGGAAATCAAAATCATCGAGAATATAATCGCTTAATTCGTTATCAAATAAAAATTCGTGATAAAACTGTTAGTTTTAAAATTATCAAAAAAAAATTAAAATTAATCAATTCTTTTTTCATTTCTTTTCTTTTTTTAAAGTGCGCTCACCACCTAAAATTAAGCCCACTTAATTGACACGTCGAATGAGACAAATTTTGCTAGAGAGAGTCGCTCAAACGGGTAATCAATGGGTTGCGGACAATACGAGGATTTTTAAAAAATATGACTTACCCCTTGCCTGTGGCAATAGGACTGTAACTGTAACAACTGTAACTGTACCAAAGTGAATGCAATAACCCTCTGCACCAATTTAATCTTCTCGTTTTAACCGAAATGAAGTTTATTAAAATTAGGTAAAATTCGATACAAAATTATTAAAAAAAATTAGAAAAATTTCGAAAAAAATAGATAAATTTTTTGAATAATTGTTTGTTTACAAAAATTATTTATGATTTATTCGTTAAAAATTTTATTTAAAAAAATAATTAAGAATTTTAAAATTTACAAATTTTTCATATATTAAGAAAAAATAAATTTTGAAGAATTGTTTTTCTTTCAAATAAAATTAAGATATTAAATAAATATATCCGTTTCCTTGTTTTATTACACAACAAATTATAGCTTATTATTTGTTTATCAAAATTATTGATAAGCATTGATAAAGATTTTAAGGGATATATTTTTAGGGTTTGCCGCAAACCATTCTAAATATACCTATTGAAGAATCATTAAAACCAATTAAACAACCAAATGCACCGAGTTTACCAACAACATCAAGCATCGATGATAATGAATACGATCAGGTTTGCGTTTCTATTAAAAATTTATTTGATTAATGTCGAACGATTAATTTTTAATTTTTTTAAATTTTTAGATAACCAAAAAAGGTAACCATTCATTCTACCATTTTTAGCTCAGCTGATTCCACTGGGTAAGACTCTTTTGCCTAAAGGCCATTTGGGAGAAATCTTCGATAGCATGCTGGTACCATATTTAGGTTTACTTTCATCGGCGAGTGTCCGAGATCAAATCCATGCTATTTGTCTTCAGTCGATATATCATTATTATATGATTCTATTTCAACTAAATTCTTGGCTAGGCAAATGAAAAAATTTTCAGATTTTGGCCAATGGAAATCATAAAGAAACATTTTATCAGGCAAATAGCAATGATTTTATAGCTGCAAATACAACGGATTGTTCAAAACAGATTTGTCGAGTATTATATGATTTTTCGGCAAAATCTGATGATGAATTGGATATTTCTGCTGGCGATTGTGTCATTATTGAAGATAAATTAGGAGATGATTGGTTAATTGGTCATAAAATACTTAATCTTACAAGTGGTTCATCGATATCCAAAACGGGTAGATTTCCTACTTCTTATGTGGCCTTATAGCATTTATTAAGAAATAAATATGTGGATCTCAGTTATAAAAGTAAAATTATAAGTATAACAATATAACTAATATTTACTGATAATCAATTAATTTATCCAATTAAAAGCCTGATAATCTCAAATATGATTACGAATCTCAATGTTTCAATATGTTTCAATGTTCAGTGCGATGGCATTTTATCATTTTATTTATAATATTTTTTCGAGTGATAATTATGGATCAGTATTTACAGTAATTTTAATTCCGTATGTCGTTTTTATTTATCAGTTGTATGATAAAATAATCATTTTGCTTGTCAAATTGTCTTGTTTGGTTCGTTTTTGCTAATAAAATTATGTTTAATTCTAGTTATATCCTATTGGTTCTGTTAATGTATGGAATAGTATTAAGTAAAATCAAAGTAACGTAAAGATAAACAAAGCAAAATAAAATATAGATACAAAATAAAATAAAATATAGCGACAAGTACAATCGATAAAAAAACTCAAATGAACTCTTTCTTATCAGCCTTATCATTTTCTTTATTATCGATTCTATTAATTTATGAAACAGTGTTAAGTAAAATCGAGATGAAAGAAAGAAAAAAAACGATAATCATTAGTAGAAGAATAGAGAGACATTTTAAAAACAAATTTTATCATTCTTATCACTTATTTAATCATACCTAATAATATATTTTGAGGTGATAAAATTCCTCGTATTTAAAGGAAAAGAATTCACAGCCAATTGAATGATATATTAATATGGAATAGCCTTAAATGAAATATGATATTTTCGCATTTTCGCATTATTAACTTAAATTATAAAAATTAGATTAACTTTTAAAAATGCGAAAATCATTTTTAATTTCATAAAATATGGCTATTTTCTTTAAAATTGCCTACTCGACTTGGCAAAGAAGAAAAATAAATGTAGAGGGAATTTTTGCAAATGAAAAATTTTTATCAATTAATTATCAATTGATGAATAAATTAAGAACAAAATAGTTAATGCTTATCGAAAATAAGATAAGATCAAAATAAGATCAAACATAATGCACTTAAAATTAGCCATTATCATTTAAAATATTTGTTAATATTTAGAGCTTTGACCTTTGACCTTTAACATCAAATTGGTAGCAAAAAAAATCACGACAATTTCAGCTATTCCCATTTGATTGATAACTTCTCAAAATGTCATTGTTTAATAGTTAGCCTAACAACTTCCATAAGGATTTCTAAAAGTGCCACTTCTATTGTAATATTTGATGCATTTTTTGCACATCAAAGTAATTTCATGGATTTAGGATATGAATTTACTAATTTTACTCTTATATCGAGATAAAAGATATAAAAAATTGGTTTATTCGCTATAGTTCGATAATTTAATAGTAAATATTTTTTATTTCATGAAAATCATAAATGGCTTGTGGATTTTGTGGTTTTTTTTTGGTTCCCACTGGAATGTTCATTCACTAAACATTCACCGAAATTCACATAAAATCCCACTAAAGTGGAACTATCGCTCGCCAAGATTTATCATTTTTATCATTTCTTCGATAAAAACCCTCTCAAAAATTTATGCTATTGACAATAATTAAATTAATCTTTTGATTTATTTCCGTCGATTTATTATCATTATTGCTATAATTAGATTGCTACATTTGTTTGGTTTAACGCTCCTATAGATTAAATTTTTACCGCGAACGATTACAGTAGATGCGGATTTTCCCACGCTTTCCCACTTTCCCACACTCTGATGATTTATTAGGTGTTTTCTATCTGAATTATTATAAAGTGGATATGAAATTGTATAAAATTTTCATGGCGGGGATGTGAGGGGAGCGTTGGTACTTAATGCATTTAGATGTATTTTATTTATGAGATTATTCAATAAATTACGAAATTTTTCAAAAATTTATTTAACCTATAAAATAATATTTTAATTGATATTTTTTATTTTATTTTTTTAATAATTTAATTAATTAATATTTTCTAGAAACTAACTTTTACGTGATTACAACTAAAAGTCAGTTTTATTCTTTATTATTTAAAAAAATAATAATAATAAGAATAATAATGCAACGATCCATTCCAACAGTTTTTCCAGTTGAAACTTATCCATATGTATCATTTAATATGCCAGTTAATATGTATTATGGACAAGGTTTGTAACTTTTTTGTGAATATTTATTATAATTTTGCAGGTTTTCGCTTAAAATCGCGGAAATCGAATCCATAAGACTTTTTTTTTTGGTTTCAGCAATTTTTTAAAATTTCTCTTTATTGCGTATTTAGTCGTTTTATTTATTTATAATAATTTATTTATGATTTATTATGACATGCTTTTGACCCTAATTTGACCTTTCTTCTTTATTATTCGTATGATTATATTATGATAATAATCTATAAACAATAATTTGAATATAAGTTTTAATATTGTTAATCTATTATTTCTCTAATTACTAAAATTTTCGATGGAACCATTTCTTTATTGAAAAGGTTATCGGCTTCGAATATTGAATATTGCACTGACGGACGGGGAGGAGAGGGGGGGGGGAGGGAAAATTGGCTAACAAAGGGGAACTAATTAATTGGACGAAGCGAATTATTGGCTAATAGTTTAGATAGATAAGTTTTTCATGAAAGTTAGATTAGTTTCTTGATTGAACTTATGCAACATTTAAAATTTCTTTTATTAATTTAGCTAAAAATGGAATAAATTTGCAGTTTTGAATGCAAATTCGAATTTTCAAGACAAAAAAAATTCTCTTCTATCGTTGAATAAGGCGGTTTCATTTTTTCATTTTTTATTAAAAATAATTTTATTATTTTTTTATTAAAAATATAAATAAAAAATAAAAATAAAAAATAGAAAAGTAAGCGCTGATATTAGAGTTTTGCGCCTGGCTAAAAAATTAATATGCCTTTCAAAAATTCGAGTTATTCCAGCGATTTACTTATATTTTTATCGCCAACTGGCGATTTTGCCTTCGGCAAAATTTGCCGATTCCCATAAGAGCGAGCTTAACCGGAAACATTAAACGCGCTTAGGAAATGCTCTTTGTAAAATGAATGAATCTGTTTGTTTTACCAATTACTATACTGCATTAACCTTAAACGAGGTGCGGGAGGGAGTCATTTTGAAATTAGAGGTACCACAGGGAGGATTATTCAGCAGTTATAAATAAACTCCACATTCTATTTGCTTATTTTATTGCTTATTCTATTAAGGTTAGCGGTTAAGCCTTTCCACTAATCAACTGTTATCGAAGTTTAAGCTTGAGTTCAATGCTTCAGTTTCAATTTTAAGTGAACCTTCGCTATGCAAAATGATCTCTCTCAGAGTTTCAGTTTATTCATAATACGGCAACTGCAACATCGGCCGGAAACTCAGAAGCATATGTTACTCAACTAAACTCAACTATTTCACAAAATCAGTGTTTACAAAATTTTTATGAAACGATTCAAAAATTTCAGGTTTCTTTTTTTTTTTTAATTTTTTTAATTTTTTCTTGAATTTATTATTGAATTATTCTTTTTAAATTAATATTTATATTGCTAAATTAATTAAAAATCATTTTTATTATTTTAATTCTAATTTAATTAATATATTTATATGTTAATTAATATTTTTATCGTCTTAGTATTTTAATATATTTTTAATTTAATTTTAATTAATATTAATTAATATTAATATTACCTAATAAAAATAATATTTATTATTATTTTATCTAATTCAATTAATTAAGTCGATTGGATCGAATTGCATAAAAATCGTCAATTTGAATGATTTCAATGAGCCGAAAAGGTACTAATTGTTTTTTATGTAAAGATTTGGCAATCCATTTCTTTGCGTCGTCGCGGGTTTTATCCTGAAATTCAATATTTTCATGGATCGGGGTCCTCCTTTATTATTTTGGAATTTAATTATTTGCGAAATATAATTTAGTAAGATTTAGTATATCAACATCGCTTCCATTATTACCATCATTGTCTCAGCAACCGCCGTCATTATTTCCATTGTCCGCAGTACCGGCATCGGCATCACCGCCACTAAAACCACCAGAACTATTGCCATTAACATCAGTTTCACTGGCGGTAGATCCAACACTGCCGATGCCATCGTTCAAAATGTTGATTGAGAATGGCACATTTTTTAATATGGTTACAACTCGATTGGGCATTAAGTAAATTTTTCGTAAAAAATTCATTTATTTTTTATTTTTATTATCATTTATTATTTGTTGATTTGTTTATTATTATCAATTATTATCAATTTTCATTAATTATTATTATCATCATCATTGCTATTGTCATTAATTATTTATTTTATTATAAATTATTTACGATTATTATTAATTTTTATTACCAATTATAATTTATTATTAAATGTTATATTATTAATTTTGTTAATTTTAATTTTTATAATTATTTATTAGTTATTAATATTTTAAATTAATTAATTGCTTTTTGAAGAAATTTTATTTTTTATTTATTTATTTATTTATTAATTTTATTTATTTTATATTAAATTTTATTAAAGAAATTTTAGAAGACATTATAAGAAAAATTTTATCAAAAATTCATATTAATCTATAATATTTTTAATTTTATATTATTAATTTATATTATATTATAATTTTTTAAAAATAATTCTATAATTTTATATTATATTATATTATTAATTTGATTATCAAATGAATTAAATTGATATTTTTCTTTTTAGTGAAATTCAAAAGACAATGTTTCCAATAAAAGATAATTACGAACGACAAGCGCTTTTTAATTATATGCTGAAATTTCGTATTTTTGATAGTCTTATTTGCGATCCATTTGGAAATATTTTTATTCAAGTAAGAGAAAAATATTATTTACAATATTTTTTATTTATGAATTTTAAAAATTTTTGAAAATTTTTAAATTTTTTCAATTTTTCGAATTTTTTTCTTTTTTTTTTGCAGAAATTTCTTGAAGAAGCGCAAGACATTGAACAAACATGGATTATGCGACATATTAAGAGTCGTGTAGTTAGTTTATGTTCAAACGTCTATTCGTGTCGCATTCTTCAAAAATTAATCGAAATATTCAAAATGACGATAAAAATAGAGATTTTAGATGAAATTCGTGGCTCGGAAATATTCTTAACAATGGATAATATTGGAACTTATTTTATTCAAGTAAATCTAATTTTCCTTTTTTTCTTTTTTTTTTCCAAATTTCAATTCATATTTTCTAAATGTTCAAATAAATTATTTTTTTTTTCTTTTGATAAATAATGATAAACAATGATATTTTTTGTTAAGAAGATTCATATTAAATTTAAATTTCTATAATTTCTCTTATTTTAACAGAAAAAATTTTTTATTAGTTTTTCTTGATTTATTTTATCAATTAACAGTTTATCAATTTTTGTCAATTTTGCAATTTATCAAGATTTCATTTCAAAATGTATATGAAAAATTGAAAATTTTTATCGAAAATTTCTAAATGTATTTTAATAATTCAATATTTTTATTTTTTAGAAAATTTTTGAATGTTTTCCACCAAGTAAAATTGATTTTATCATTTATCTATATACATTTTCGATGCAAAATTTTACGCAAATAATTCAAGATATGAATGGCTGTCGAGTAATACAACATGCAATAAAGGTTCAACTTCAATTTATTATCTTTTCCAAGGAAACAATATATTTTCTATTTTTACTCAAATCCCCCCCCCCCCTTCCTCTCCAACCCATCTCCTCCACCACCAATCTTTCCTAAAAATGCAATTTTTCGAAATCCCTCCAATAGTTTTGATTTTTTTTTCAAACTTCTAAAAATTCGATTTTCCAAAATTTTTACTCTTTAACAATGCGATTTTTTTTTTATTCTATTAAAAATTTAATGAAATTTAATGAAAATGAATCTTAAGACGCTATCAAATAAGCAATCATTATCGAAAATTTTTATGGATTTCCCGATGGAATGCGAATATGCCGATCAACTTCTGGAAAAATTATTTCGTAGAATTCATGAAGGTTGTACGGAATTCATTTCGCATAAATTTGCCAACTATGTTATACAGCAAATAATTTGTTCGGAATTCGTTAGAAAAGAACGTGATTACGTGATTCGGCAAAGTATTTTGTAAGTTTCTTTTTATTTTTACCACAAAATGATTGTTTGACCCCTTTTGATTCAGTTGATTCAATTAATAAATAATAGTAATAGTAATGACAGTAGTAATAGTATTAATATTTACAACAATATTAGCAGTGATGCTGATAACTATAGTGATAAAAGTAATAAAAATTTATGGCTAAGATAATAATAATAAATAATAATGACAAATAATAATAATAGTAATTATGATAATAATGCTAATAATATAATAATTAATAATAGCAATATAGTAGAGTGCAAGTAGTAAATGATAATCAAATAATTAACAATAATAGTAATAGTAACAAAACTGTTGTGCTGACAATTATGATAATTATAATAATATTAGTGATAATAACGGTAATAACGAAGCCAATAGTGACCAATAATAGTGTTAATAATCATAAAAAATAAAAATAATTGCAGAGGAAGGACATTATCATTATCGCAAGAGAAATTTGGTTCCTTCGTGATACAAAAAGCCTTAAAACACGCTCCCACAAATTTACTGCATTATTTAATGAATGAAATTCTCGATGGATATGATCGAGATTCGTAAAATTTTTTAATTTTTTAAATTTAAATTTGTATAGAAAAAAAATTTTTTTTACTGAACACTTTTGGTTAGGCTTAGGCTTAACCTTAGGCTTATTGGCTCGCAACTAGTTCGGCAAATTTCGTGAGAGACTTAATTGATAATAGTACAAATGACAGAAGCACGCATATTTTCTTTAACGTTTTTACCCCTTTCTAACCTGGAACCTGGAATAGCACTCCAGTACCTCGATGCTACGGTGATTTTTAATTTTTCCTAATTTATATTTTAAGGTATGGTCGTGATGCTTTAGACGTTTTACTGTTTGATCAGTATGGCAATTATGTGGTACAAACAATGTTAGAATTGGCATTTGACCCCAAAAAAGGTAATATTGCTTGGAGACAAAAGATTTCTATGCGAATAATTGTCAATAAACAGCGATTAAAACGCTATTCATCTGGTGTAAAAATTATTGGACTCGTTGAAAAATTTATCAATAATTAAAAGATATCGTCAGCCTTACTTCAAATTGGTGATAAGGAATGTTTTAGCTTCGAATCGAATTGATAAAATCTGAAAAAAAAATTGAAAAAATCGTATTATATTTATTTAATAATAGTAATGACAGTTTAATTAATTGCAATTTTATGGCTATTTAGCTGTTTTATACAAATTTTAATTTTTTCTTTTTCAAATATTCATAGTTATTATTTAAATTTTAATGTTCGAGTTTTTTTATTAATTAATCGAATAAAAAAAATACATTTCAACAGTTCGCATTCGGAAATCTTAAGTTTTCCTGCAAAACTGATGGAATCATTCGAATATTTTTTATAAAATGAAAAATATCAGAAGCATATAGTTGTTTTAGAAAATTTTTGTTGGGTGGAAAAGCTGTTCTCAAAAAATTTACCTTCAAAACTCATTACTCGAGATTTAAATTTTTAATATAAATTAATTTTTTTAAATATACATTGATAATGGGTTATTATCACCCATTGATAAGTTTTAAATTGTCTAATTATTATTGAATGTTTTTTCGAGAAAACATATATATATTCTCTTGTTCTTATCAAAGGATTTGTACCTTATCATTTATATATCCATAAATTTCGTTTTTTCATGAAGATATTTTTTATATTTTGAATGAAATCGAGAACCACTCCGTCCATATATTTTTATTTTTCAATTTTTTCATTTTTTTGTAATAACAGTTTTATTGATAATAGTTTTTAAAAAATTTTTATGATAATCATTGTTGATGATCATCTTCGATCATCTATCTTTATTATTGCTGATTAATAAAAATAAAATAGATAAATTTTAATGTTCAAGTTTTTTTATTAATTAATCGAATAAAAAAAATACATTTCAACAGTTCGCATTCGGAAATCTTAAGTTTTCCTGCAAAACTGATGGAATCATTCGAATATTTTTTATAAAATGAAAAATATCAGAAGCATATAGTTGTTTTAGAAAATTTTTGTTGGGTGGAAAAGCTCTTCTCAAAAAATTTACCTTCAAAACTCATTACTCGAGATTTTTAGGCGTTTAAATTCTACTTCAATGGAATTTATCAGAACAAAATTTTTTTCCATATATGGTGCGATATAAAGGTGATAGAAATGAATTTAAATAAAGTGGAGTTTTTCTGGTCTATTTTCATAGAAGGCTGGTGGAAGGTTGGCTATTTTTCTAAAAAATTTTTATCATCAAGAATTTAAATCATAATTGCGAAACATTCTTTATGGCCTAAAAAAGTCTAAGTTCCAAGGCCTAAAAAAATTAACATATAAATCAAATATCTACTGAGAAATAATGAAGATAATTTCTTCGATTAATTAAATTCGTCTTAAAAGATATACTAAAATTCTTTCATAAAATAACAATAAATTGTCAAAATACAGGAATAACAAAAAATATAAAAAGAAGAAATTCGATAACAAACAATAACAATCTCAAGAAATAAAGATAAATAAAAATGATTAAACATAAAAAAAAAACATAGGTGATAAATTTTGGCTCTAAATTTTTTCACTATGATGAATTACAAATATCTATGCGTAAAAACTTATATCATTATGAATTATTAAATTTTGATTAAAATTTAGATTTTTTTTCTCAGATATTTAATTGAATTTTTGATTTTTCCTCAGGATAAGTCAAAAATTTCTAAGAATTTTCTAAAAATAATTTCGCAAAACAAAAATATAAGATAAATTGAAAATATTTCGCAAGATTAAATAAAATAATGTGAACAGTAAATATATGTTAATTTCAATTTTCACATTGGTAAATTCCCATTTACAATGGTCAAATATACTGAGTAATTAAAGGTAAAAAAAAACAAACATTACGGTAAATATATTGCAATCAATATATTGTAATTGTATTATATAATATTTAAAAAAAAAACAAACCTAATTTACGGTTATTATAGTTTATAACTATTCAGTTTTATAAACGAAAAATTTGATCAATTTGATCCATTTGATCCAAAATATTCAAATATTCAATATCGAATTTTTCTTGCAATGAAATTTGATTGGATTAAAAAAAAGGACGTTTTTCCATTGGTGTTATTTTTAAAGTCGAAAATGACTATGCGAATATTGCACATTGCCTGAAACTAACATTAACTAACAATAACTTTATAAATATCCTTTAAACAATTTTATATAAATAAATAATATACAATATTAAGTAATCTGTATAAATGAATAAGAATGATTAGCTTTCTTTTCCTTTTAGTTTTTATTTTTCTCAAATCCAATTTTATTAAAAATTTTTTTAAACTTTAGCATATTCTGAATTTTCCATATAAACCGTTATATTCCTTTCTCAAACTTCAACATATTGTTTTTCTTATAAATTCCTATAATTTCGTAGTCATATGCGATGTCTTCCATAATGTTATAATTTGTGACTGCAAAAAGCTAAGTAGCTTATAGATCTAAATTTGGAGTGAAGAAGTAAACCTTCCTTGAATTTGGATAATGCTAGCAATTTAGCGGTATATTTTTAATGACAAAGAATCCCTGGCAAGATTTGCCTGATTTAAGCAGCCAGAGGAGCGATTCTACCAAAAATAATAAGCTCTTTTAGAAAAAAAATTTGTGAATGTGGTGTGTGTGGTCTGACAATGTTCGATAAAGATATCTTACCAAATTTAAAGAGGTACAAGACGTTGAGGAAACAAATTGTAACGGGGAAACCTATGAACGGCCTATATTGTAAACGTCTTAAAGTGATGCTATACTAATACAAAATTTGGTAAGATATTCTAAGGATTATTACAGGTCGTAAAAAAAGCCTCGATACCACAGTCTAAATGCTAGTCTACTGAAACAGCATTAACAATCCACGAAGTGAATAAATTATTATACAATATTCAAGGTAGTCCCATACACTTCTAAAAAACGAATGCAATAAAAACGACAGGGTTTGTGGAAACTTATAAAAAGTCCTAAGAATACTAATCAAAGAACTATAATGTGGCCAAGAGAATTATAGAAGAAAATTTCTGGTTATATTACTGATGATTATGGCATAAAAATATTAAAAATCTGATGGCACATTAAGAAAAGTTAATTAGGTTCGGAGAAGCATTAATGGGATAAGCATTAACGAAGAAGCGAAATATGAAAGGGTCAAACGAGATATGAGTCACATGATAATAATATGAATATTATTAACAAATTAGCCATATTTTGAATGTAAACTGAATTCTATAACAAAATTTAGAATTTAATATATATATACAAGTGAGCCTATGAAGGGCCTATAATAAGGATTTAGAATCGCAGGAAATTAAAAGAATTAGTAAAGATTTTAGTAAAACTGCGAGTCAAAATTTTTTCCAGGCTTTATATTTAGAAAAAATATTAAAATTATTAAAATATTTCTAAAAAAAATCCTTATAATCCTAATTTTAAAATTTCTTTCAACGAATCTCGCAAACTCGTAAATAATTGAATCTTATTGGTTTATTTAAATTGGTTTAATTAAGAAAAATAAAAATTCAGAATAATGAAAAAGATTACTTTATGAAGATATACTGAAAAAATTCGACACCTCATAGAGTTTTTCGACAATTTTTCTTCCTGAGGAATGGCGTAACAATTCCTTTCGATGACGAAGAATATGTTCGGCTATGCGATCAAACCAAATACTTTCTCCTTTAATTCCTTCAAATTTCACTTTAATTGCAATGTCAAACATTGTTTGTATCACGTGTTTTCCAAATTTATCGTAAAGCATTACATCGATTGCACATTTATTATGTTCTGTTCTGTAATAAAATAAAAAATATAAAAAATTTATATGTATTATAATGTATTAATTATAATAATTTGATAAGGAAAAAAGAAATATTCGATAAGAACAATTCTTATTAACGTTAAGAAATAACGAAAGAAACATACTGCTTATTGCAATAGTCGAAAATCTCATTCATCATTGCGTGAAGAAGCTCGCTTGGTGCATAAATGAATGCCTTTTGGACCAAATATGATGCGTGCTTCGTTTGCGATATAGGTAAAATATTATTTCTATAAATGAAAGCATAAGAAATCAGCTTAATCAATGTGCAAATATATCGTTATAAAAGTATCAATTAAAAATATTTAAAAAATCGATTAATCACAAGCTTTTTTTGCATCTGCCACTTTTTATCACTTCTTTTTTTAAATGATAATGTTAATTTTAAAAAAGATCTTTTACTAATGAAAAAAATAACAATAATAATAATAATAATAACTATATTCAAGATTGGAGATATCTGTTCAAGTTCGATTCGATAAAAATAATGAACTACAAATGTCATTCGAGTCTTGATCAAAATATGTTGCTCAATTCAGAGCGCAGATGCTGAGGTTCTATTCCCCGCCGGAATAAACCAAAAATCTGGGTGATGCCGATTAACCTGTATTTCTAACGCCAAGAGACTCTGGCATATTTGTCCAATGCGACGGAGCGAATTTAATAGTAATGGTGAGGACTCTTAAAAAAAAACGTAAAACTTATAGAAACTTACAAAAGACTCATAATGATGAAATTTCCTTGAGCTTTAAGAACCTCGGATTTCACTATTGTTTGCATTATATAATTTACGTATTGATGACTGATGAGAAAAGTACAATTATTTAACAGCGTTTCGACTATCTTAAACAGTAAATCTCTTGCCTGTTGCGAATTTGAATTCATAACTTGAAATTCAAGATTCTGCAAAAAAAAACATTTTTCATATTTTATTTTATTATAAGCAATATATTTTATCAATTCCATTATTTAGACCACAGTTATACCAAATGAATTACCTACTCCTACTGTTAACATGTAAAAAATTTTGTTCAAATTAATTTCTTCAATAAGTTCTAGCTTTGATTTAATTTAATTAATGTGCATAGGTGACAGCATAGAAAAAGGAGAAAAATGACTTCTATTGTTCTTAAAAATATGGACATGGAATAAATAGCTCGGAAATATTTTATCCTTATTTTATCCTTATAGCCATCGGGGCATACCTAACCAGTAATAATGACTAGTATAGCTATTAGAAGTCCCAATCAAAAAAAAAAGAACAAACGAGAATATAAATTCTCTTTTATATTGTATTGTCATTTTAAATTCTAAATAGAATTCAATAGTGATAACAAATAATAGTGATAACAGATAAGAGTTAAAATAAAATAATACCTGAATAGCATGTTCTATAACTCGACAACCATATTTATCTGTGACTATTTTGTAAAAAATTTCGCTCGACGAAATTAAACTTTCAATAACAGATTTGTATGCGTATAAAGGAACATGTTCAAAAATATGCTAAAAATTAATAATTCATATTGACCTTATTATCCTTATTGACCTTATTAAATATATATTTATTCAAATGAAATCGTACCAAAAGTAATGAGAGATTTTTTGGAAGACATCTATACAATGATATTATTAATAAAAAAAGTAATATAATTAATTAAAACAGTTTCAGTTGTAATCATATTGATTTTAATTGATTGTGGTTGTGCTTCCATATTAGAGGATTGAAAAAAAAGCAGCATCGTATTGAAGAGAATTATCGCCGAGAAAATTCGCGTAGATCATAATGAAACCACAATAATGAAGAAGAATTTAATCACCAACCTGTATCACATGATTACCATTTCGATTAATGGATAGTTTACATTCAGCACCTTTTATATTTTTTACCATTTGTAATTGATACGAATGACCGAGGCATATTATAGCTTTTTCGACAACATAACAAGAATATTTATTAAAACTCAAATCAACAATACGTTTAGACAATAACGAAGCAATCGACTTCTTCTGTGATGCTGTCGCGAAATCCATAATAAGCTATAAAATTTTTTATAATTCGACAATCTAGAAATCGAATTAGAAAAAAAAAGTAAAACAAATAATAATTACAAAATTACGATATGTTTACTTGTAATATGGAATTTGCGTATTTGTCGCAACAAATCTCGTAGAACACGCTTGGTTCAAGCATTTTGCATAGAAATCTTTTTTGTATCGTTTCGTTGAGAGTTGGCCAGACTTCTTTTACAGTGCTTAAAAATGTATACATGCATATAAATTTAATAAAAATATCAATATTTCTAAGTTTATTTTTGAGTTATATGGCACAATATTTAGAAGATCAGCGATTTTCTCAACAATTTTTTTAAAATCCCTTTTTATATCGAATCTTATCTTTCTATATTTTCTATATTCCACAAAAATTCAGAAACACTTGATAAACTTATCATAATTACCAAGATTTCAATCTAAGATTGTCCCATTTGAGAAGATTATCAAATCTTCAAAAAATTTTTGAAAGTTCCAAAACATTTATTGCAGGCATTTCTTTAATTTTTTAATAACAAATCTATCTACCGTTGGCAAAAAGTAATTTCGTACAACATTGAAAATTTTGAGCAAATAGAAATAGAAAAAATAGAAAAATAAAAAAAATACAAACCATGATCCTTCTTTATTTTTAATAAAATCCAAAATGAAACCAGAATTAACATAATCAGTTACAATTTCAAGTGGACTGAAAAAATAAACATGACGCTAAAAAAATTTGATTCAGAGATGTCCGTGATTCCTTCAACTTTTCTCTAAAAGCGCCTATATTTTTAAAGTACTATTTCTGATTAGGATTCCCTGAGTAGCTTGTTGGACCAGACAAATTTTATCAGCCACTTGATGATAAAAATACAGGCATAAATTGCCAATATCATCTGCGTTTTTGAAAGATATGGTTACTGGAGCTGAAGCTAGAACCTCAATATCCGAAATAAGAGCAACAAAGCACTGGGCCAACTCCTTCAATTAACCAAATGCAATTGAAAGTAAAAATTTATTAGCATAATTTTTTAAAATTTGATGAAAATTGAAAAAGAATTAAAGAATAGATTTAAAACCAATCTTATAAATCTGCCATGGAATTCTAAAATATTTATAATTACGAGGAAATCTTTGAAAAAATGGAAATATACCTATATCGTTGCAATCCATAAATCGTTTCTGGAAATTGTTGATTTATTCCATAAATTGTTTCTGGCAATTGTTGATTCAATCCGTAAATTGTTTCTGGCAATTGTTGATTTGAACAGTAAAGAGGAAACGGTTTGTATATCAACTGCATCTACAAATTAGATTCATTTGACTTGCTCTACTGACTTGTTGGATAAATTTTTGCCAGGAATTCAGTGATAAAAATATAAGTGAGTCCACAAGCATTGGGCGGATATAAGCTTACTCCTGTCAAGAATTAAATGCCAGAGTTAGCATTCCGAAAAGCAGCAACCCACTAAGCCATTCTATTACCATACCAAAAGTTTATTATTGAAAAAAATATTAAAATATTAAATATTATATTAATATCAAAAATAGCGAAAACATTTGAAAAATTATTCATGTATAATTTTGAAAAAATAAAAATTTTCATGGCCATAATATAAAAGGAATATATATTTAATAATTTTTATATTTTTTTAGACCTTTTTTAAAATTTTATTAAATATCAAAGAAAATAGAAGAACTATTTATATTATTTATTTATATAAATTATTTACTAAAAAATAATTCAATCTCATAATTTTGATTTTATAATTTTTTTTTCGAAAAAAATTTTAAAAATTATAATCTTTCATTTGAAAAAAATAGAAAATTTGAAAATTGAAAAAAATTAAAAAAATTAAATGAGGAAAAGAACTTACAGGTGGAGCCATTGCACCATTTATTATTGTTATAGGTAAAACATTGGTAAAATTTTTATTGCCATTTTGAAATTTATAAAAATCTAAAAAAAAAGAATGAATTATTTTTGTAGAAAAATAAAATTTTTTATAATTTTTACTTCATATTTTATGAATTTTTATAAAAAATTTCTTATGAATAAATTAAATTTTTACAAATTTTATTTTATATTTTATAATTTGTAAAATATTTTTTCATCAAAAAGATCAGAAATCTTTTCAACAATTATTTATATTTGTTTTTCATCTATTTAATTTATAATTTATGATTTTAGTAAAGTTTTTACAATAAAAAATTTAAAAAAATTTTTTAAAATTTAAAAATTTCATTACAAATTCATAAATTCTTTCGATAATTTCTAATTTAATAAGTTAAAATTATTAAAATTTATGAAAATAAATTATTCAAATATTCAAATTATTTCTAATAATTTAATAGCTTTTAAATGAATGTAAAATCTTCGATATTTTGTTTTTTTTTTCTCAACAAATTGAAATTTTAAATTTTTACGAATAATCCTCATGTTGCTCAACTGCTCGTCTGACAATTGCCCATGTCAAGACGATTTCAATGAATCGTTAATTAATCTAAGCCAAAATTCATTGCCACGCTTATACGCGAGCGAGCGAGCAATCGACAGGTGAGCAAATGACCGAGCAAATAATCTCATTAAAATTTTAAAAAATTAAAAAATTATTTCAACCAAAATTTGGAAAATGTTGAATGTCACAAACAGCTGTTGTCGACTGAAAAAAAACACTACCACCGTAATTAAAATAATAATACGGCGGTTGAGGAGCGTTTATTTGTTGTTGCATTTTGGTTTTTTGGCTAAAAAAAAAAACTTCTTTATCGATCTAAGAAAGAAATTAAAATTCGCGTAATTTCAATACGCTGATACCTCAAATAACACGAGTCTTATTTCTCTTAAATGAATTCCGTAAATCCATAAAAAAAATTCCCATAGAGATTTATGCGTGCCAAAAAAATGCGAATATTTAAAAAATTATTAATATTTATCATAAAATGGTAACAATTTTAATCAATCGATCTCAGGATTAGCTTTTGCATTCACCGATTGGTAATCACTGAGCCTAAAGCTAAACTCCTATAAGCCTTTATTAATCGACCTCGCCTCTTACTTACTTGCACCTCAACCAATACAAAAATGGTACGAAACCCGTCTTTCGAGCAATTGGAACATACCACTTTCACCGTACTAAATAATAGCGACCGTCGCTCAAATAGCTCATCGCGCAAATAATCCGTCGCTCAATTGTCGCTCAAAGCTGACAACTACAGTTTTTCAAAATTTGGCATATTGCCAGAGCGGGATTTTTTTGATTAGTGTGTGAAAAAGAAATTACCTGTTTCAGGTCACTTGAAAATAACTCTTACGGGGTTCGACCTGTTTTTCCTGTGGTTCCATGGCTTCAATTTGTTTATGAAATAAAATGGAAATCGCGGAAAGACAAACTCGTACGAAATACAACAATCGCGATGAAGAAATCATGTGGAACTTCTTACTTCGGTAATTTTATTCTATTTTCCTAAATTTGCATTTGATATCAAATCAAATTGGAAAGAATAGCCGAGTGGTGCGCTGTTTCGATTTCATGCGTCTCAAAGCGTCTCTCTCCTAGGTCCGATTCATTTCTCTGAACAGTGATAAACTTATTATTAATAGGTGAATTCCATCATTGCTGATCCTTTATTTATAAATAATTTTCTAGCCAAAAGTTTCTTAATTTACATTGTCATTGCTGATCCTTTATTTATAAATAATTTTCTAGCCAAAAGTTTCTTAATTTACATTGCCAATAAGCTCGAATTATTTAATCACTAGAAGATGAAGTTGCACCGAGCCATATTTATTTTCTTTGTAATATTCTATGGAATGGTCAAGTCGACCACAGAAATAGCTTTTGCATTCGACATTTGGTACTCGAGTTCTTAAAAACAGGCTTAGTCCTATCAGATTAGAACATCCCGATTCTTCGAAAGCAATAAGCTACTAAGTTGAAAGCTCTGTGAAAAAAATTGCTTTTTTTCATTTCCAGAAATATTTTTAATAAATATATTTTTTATTTATTAAAAATGTTTGTTTGTTAAATATATTTTTATATTATTTAATCGATTATTCAAAAATAATAATAATAAAAGTATATCTGTAATAGTTGAATTAAGCTCCACCAAAGACAGGTCACCTGTTTGCAAAATATTTTTTTACGGTCGTCCGGTTTACAGTCCTTTGGGCTACGCTTGCGGGGCTTTATTTTCTTCATTTAGCCATTCAACAGTATTAAATGGTGCTTTTCTTTTCGGACTTCATCGCTTTTCATCTGTTCTTTTTGTTTTCTTGAAGAATATCATTATTTTTGGTGATTGGCTGATTAATATGCCACTGAAGTTCGATGCACCATTCTGAGATAAAAATGATTTACTAACCAAATCTTTATTACTTGATTTTTAATTGTTAATAAGGTAGACTGCTGGTTTGAATGCCATTTTTCAGTTTTGCGATACCATATTAGTATTTTCCATTTGCCATTTGGCTGCCAGACGGGTTAAGTTAGGAAAGACAGAAATCCTTTAAATACCTTAACTCGATTAAGTTTTTAGTGAAAGTATTTAGTGAAAATATGAACTTTTATTGTTGGTCTCTAATATTTCTTAAAATCCAATTTATAATACAATATAAAAAGAAGAGATTAGATTAGATTAAATCTAATATCTTTTCATCACGTGTGGTTCTTTTAAATTTCTTCTATTACGTTTTAGCCTCTACCTTGTGCTTGGTCTGTTTTTTTTTTGTATTTTATAAATTTTTAATGGATATACAATAATTGTAATTTTAATAGAGAAGCAAAGCCAAAAAAAATTCTTAATGAATGAATCCTTATTTATTATATTGAATGGCTCGATGGGTTGTTGCTCATTGGGAGCATTGGGAGCATCGATGCTGAGATTTCCAGCAGGAATAAACCGGTAAAAATATCCGAGTGATGCTGGCGACTGTATTTCTATATCGCCAAGGGACTCTCTGGCATATTGACCAATGTGGCAAGCCAGTGGAGCGAGTTTAACCAGTAATGGTGAGGAGTCTTTAAAAAAAAAATTATATTCTATAGACGATTAAAACAAGGATTTTGGTTTGCCTATGAGCCAAAAGGCAAATTACTTTGGAAAAATTTGGAATCAATGGGAATTATCAATAAATCAGCTTCATCGATGACAACGCAGTGAGTTTTTTGTTTTTTATTAATTTTAATTAATTTCTATTAATAAAACCTTGATTAATTTTTTTAATATTATGCTCAATATTATGTATATCTCAGTATTTCCAAATTTTTTGATTTTATATAAATTATATAAATTTGGTTTTATATAATTTTTTTATAATCTATAATTTTAATTTTAGTTTTCGTCGCTTCATGTATAATAAATTGGAATCGGCACCGTTATCCATCGACGACTTATTATTTATCATAAATGAGCTTTCTATTCCGCTAAAAAAGCGTCAACTTAAAAAGTATTTACTTTTATTATTATTATTTTTATTTTTTATTTTTATTTTTTATTTTTATTTTTTTGAAAATTTATTTTTCTTTTCATTTATGAAAAATTTTATTTAAGAATTTTATTTACCTTAAATAATAATAACATCTTATTAATAATAACTTTAATTAATAACTTTATTTATTAATAATTAATAACTTTAATTAGTTTTTTTAATATTATTATGTATATCTCAATATTTCCAGATTTTTTAAATTTGATTTTATAATTGATTGATTTTATATAATTTTTCTAAAATTTATTTATCTTAATCTTTACTTATTTATAAAAAGATTTAAGTTTCTTAAAAAGATTTAAATTTTTGAAAAAATTCACTCGTTTTTAAAAATAAAGAATATTAAAATAATGAATTTAAAATTTAAAAATGTCGACGTATTAGAACAATGCTCTTTCATATGTAATTTTCAAGTATGCAACAAATTGGATTATGAGCATCGGTTCTCGGTACTGAAAAGATATACTCTTCCGAAGCATAATATAATATCAGAGTCCTAATATCAGAATACGCTGGTGATGCAGCCTTTTTCTGCACGATGAAGAATATCAGCTAATATGAGACCGTATATTCATATATTCATAGCTCTAGCTGGCTTGAGATTAGTGCAAATTTGATAAATCTTTTCATTTTTGCGCACTGGTAAAATATCCATAACAAATCAGTGGTTCAATGGTAGCATGGCCAGTGAATGTAGAAGGAATTAGTTACCGACCATTTTTGCATAAATTGCATTTTAAATACCCTGCTACTAGGGAAAGCTAAATAAAATATCACATAGTTTCACATGATATCAGAATAATAATGTCATCATAGAGTACCACCAAACTGATTAGATTAGATTATATTCCTTATTCCTCATTACAATTTCTGATAGCTTCAAAAACAAGTTGGCCTGGATCAAATTTGGATCTGGATTCAAAATTTCAAGAGCGATTGTGAAAACATAGGTAGCCCAACAATATCTGGGCTTAGCGAGCGGAAAAATAAGTATATTTTATCATCAACCAAGATGGAATCAAATCGAGGATCTGGAATTGGAAAAGCTTACCTTTATGGACAGTTAAGCTTAACCAACCAGTACAAACTATTAGAACAAGGAATTTTTAATAAATATTTAATTTCTTTAATATTTACTAGCCTTTTCCGTTATTTATTGATGCTTCAGATTTCGATTAATCTTTAATTTGAAAATTGTAAATATTTAATTTGAAATAAAGAATTTTTTAGGATCGAAAATCGATTCAGTGTAACTTTTTTGCTCTTGCAAAGTTCCATTATTGGCTACGAAAAGGAAGGTTTGCAGCGAATTTTGTAAAATTTCCTATTTTACATAAATTTCCTATTTCCTATTAATTTATTTTTTGCCCTGTTTTCATTTGTGAGAAATTTGATGGGTGAATATTTTTCTTTCAGGAAAATTTTATTACATTAATCATGATCGTCTCATGAAGAGTAAGTTTTATTGATTTGAAAATTAAAAATAATAAATAAATCATAAATCATAAAATAATAAATATTATTTATATTTTTGAAATAATTGTCAAAGATGAGTTTCATTTTTCATTTAAAGACATCGAAGAGTTTATTCAACATAATTTCTGTTTTATTTGGCTCAGGTAGGCCAATAGATTGAAATAATTCCATTGATGTGGCGGAAATTATATTTAATGTTACTTCTCATCTTATCACAGATACCATTATCACAGATATCATTATCACAGATTTATTGCAAGATTTTAAACGTGATATTTCAATCTACGATCAGCTTTTTTAGAATCGAAATTTGAATGTTACCTGCTTCCTTTTTTTCCAAATACTTTCCCTTCGTGAATTATATTTGTTTTTTATAGCTTTTTTAAAATAAAATTTTAAATTTACAGGCAAAATAGTTGAAATAATTGATAAAGAGCATGTAACTGAGAACATTGAAGATGCCAAAGAACTAAAAGAATACAGTGTTAAAGAAAACATAGTTAAGGAAATTGCAAGTTTTGAAACGACTGAAAATATCACATTAAAAGAAAATATATGGGCCATAGAAGTTAAACCGGTTTGTTTTTTTTCGAAAAAATGTTGACTGCAAATTATATTTATATTATATATTAATTAGAAAAATAAAAATAATGCCCTCTTTTTTTTGAAAGATTTTACCATTTCTCTTTCGCTAACTTGTAGATAAATATTCCAGGGGGTCCATTAGCGATAGAAATATAGATGAGTTGTCAATATCATCCGGATTTTTGAAGAACAAGCGTACTCCTATTAGGAATAGAACCTCACCATCGCGGCTCCGAATTAGGCAATAATTCACCGATCTTTTTATATTAGGCGTCATCGTTTCACGATGAAAAAATATAGCCGAGTGATATACTTCTTCTTTAACTATACGTTAAAATATTATCACGTTGAAATATTATCACGTCCTTTAGAATAGTCTTTTTAACAAGTTGAATTAAAGTGAATTAGAAGTTGAATTTTGTTTGATTTTTATTTTAGGAAATTCCACTTGAAACAAATGCTAATGCTACAAAGCAAAGACAGGGCTTCTTTGAACTTCTAAAAATTTTTTTTTCTGACTCATATGATGCTTTTGATTTTTCTGATCTTCCGGATTTTTTTCCTATTTAATTATTTCGTTGATTGGGTTTTGTTGTTGTTGTTGTTTGTTTGTTGTTTTTTATATTTCAAGCTGGCACTGAAAATTAAATATTTACTGATGTTTTATGAAAAATTCAATTGTTTTTTTTTTATTTATTTATTTGTGATTTATTAAATTTACTTTAATTATAATTCTTTAATTATAACAAATGCATTGAATTTTTTTTGCTCAATTTTTATTTAAAATTGATTAGTATCGTTCTGGCTATTGTAATATTATTCTTTTAAAATTTAACGATAGCGTTGTAATAGGAACAAAAATTATAATATTTCAAATATAGTTTAAATCATTGATATGATTATAGTCTATTTAAACTTATCAGCCTGCTTGCTATTATTGAATATATTGTCTTATGTTCTACATACGCTAGAATAATGTTGATTTAATGATTGCAGCTTAGATTTCAGGCATTATTTTTATCGCTAAAAGGTTTCCTGGTATATCTGTTTAATCCGAACCAGTGAAGCGAGTCTAACCAATAATGGTGAGTGCTTTTCGAAAAAAAAAAGCTAGCGAATTGGAATGCACTTAAGAAATTATGAATATCAATTGCTTATTTGCTTAACATTGAATATAAAAGAATGGAAAAAAAATATAGCCAAATTCCTTACAATATAAAAAAAGAGAATCTTTAAAGATTTAATTTTTATTTCTTAAATAAAATTTTTTTTATTATAAATTTTTATAAAATCTTCATCATTCACAGTTTAACAGTTTGATTTGATGACATCTTTCCTTATGTAAAGAAACATCGAATCGAATTATTCTTTTCAGCTACTAAGATTTTTTATAAAATACAATATTTTTAATATTTAAAAAAATATTTAATATGAGGAGTACACTAAAATCACTAAATAATTTCCAAATAGATTCATTCATCTTAGTAAAAATTATAAGTGAAGCTGTGAACAAAAAGGAGAAAAAAATGAATTGTGAAAAATTAATTTTTTGAAAAAATCAAAAGATTTATAAAAAAGCACAAAATATCAACCTTCACAATTGCATAAATTCAAGTGTGAATAAAATAGAAAAAAAAAATTTTCATAAAATTACGAGAATTTCGCAAAAAATACACTTAAAAAATTATGAAATAATAATATTCGATAAAAATGAATTTCATGCATATTTCACCTAAATTATTTTTTTAAAAAAATGCAAAGAATTCTTTTAATAATAAACACGACAATCATAATTCAATTAATATCGACAAACAAAATTTGATTGTAAAATATTGAGGAAAATAAGGCAAGAAAAATTGATAAAAATATTAATCACTGATAAAAATGATGTAAAAAAAAAAAGAGAATTCCAAAATGCAATAGCAGCATAACGAATGAAATAATTGAATGCTTAACAATTGTGAGCGTCGATTTCAAATAATTATGCAACAAATCGCTTTTTTATTGAAATCGAAATTTTTGAGGAAAATTCGAATCAATATTAAGGCTAATAAATAATTCCGTTAATTCCGTTCTAATAATGTAATAATTCTTAATTTCTACCGCAACATGAATTCGCTTGCATTGTAACTCGATCCAACAAACTTATTGAACCAGAATTTTTCTCATTTTTATTCGTTGGATACCTAAAGTTGGATAACCTTTTAACCTTTTGAAAGGCAAAACAACAAATTCTTTCACTTATTTTTTTAAATTCTTTTACTGAAATAATTTTTCATTAATTTTAAAAAATTAATGAATTATTTATTAAAAAAATAATGATAAATCTCATGGAACTCGCATGAAACACGAAACGAAACTTTCATAAAATTTTATGAAAAATAAAACTTTTCTAAAATTCTTTCATTTTTTGTGATTAAATCACCTTGAAAATAAGAAAAAAAATATAATCAAAAAAAAAAAGAAAGAATACCTTTCATCATTCTTCTTCATATCGCAAGTCAATCTTGTTGCAACCTCATGAAAAAGTGTATCGACATTTGTCGCATCCAAAGCAGATGTTTCCAAAAAATAATCGAAAATATTAGCTTCTGCAAAACTTCTTCCAACTCGTTCCGGAACTTCTCGTTCATCCTCTTTATCGACCTTATTTCCTTTAAATATCCAAAATCTTTATATTATAAGTATTTAAAAAAAAAAAAAAACTCCCCGATTATTAAAAAAATTTTTGCCAATAACACGTTGTAATACCACTTATTCTTCGAAAAAAACAAAATTGAATATCATCAATGACCGGCTATTTACACAGTTGAAAGCGGTACGATCGATATGTGCCGAGAAATTGAAACGACATTCTGACTGGTATAACTGGCCGTTGGATGTCAGAATACAATGTAAAAATGAACACTACTAGGAACAATCACTAGCACACCTCTCAAATCGACAATTTACTTTCGGAAGGAAAGAAAAACTAATTATGTGCAATATGCAATCTAATGAAAACAAATGATAGTGGCCTAAAACATGGCAAAAAATCTAAATTCTACCAATCCAAAATAAAATTACGAGCGAGTAGAGAACCTGAAATAAAGCCAAACAAGCCAAAATGGCGATAAATGGCAGATACTTTGGTAATATTAAGTGGTACTGGCGTAATAGTACTCACATGTGCATTGGATTCTGTGATAAAATTTGTCTAGTCTGACAAGCCCAGCAAAACGAGTCTAACTAAAGTAATGCTGAGAAATCCTTCACAATAGTATTATTATGGCATTATGGCATTACCAGAAATTTTCAATAATTAAAACGACACCGCAAATATGAAACATGCTGATGGAATGATTTTGCGAGAAATATCAATAATCAAACATCGTCGTATTAACACTCTAATCATGTTAATTGCTAAACAAAATAGGATAAATGATTTTTAATAATTTTCAGCTTTACAGCTGGTCAATTCTGCAACAAAAACGATGGTCATTAGATTAAATAACTAAATCATATCGCGTTAAAATTAAATCAAATCGATCGAATGAGTAAAATTTCAAGCCAAAGCCAAATAGAATAACAATTAAAAATATAAAAAATACAAAATTTTAAACAATATAAATTTTAAAATAAAAAAATATACTTAAAAAACTAACCAACAAGAATTTTTAAAACTTTACGATTAGCATATTGTTCGATTTCACTAAGCCACTCGGGGAGACAATCAAAACTTGGTTGGCATGCAACATCATAAACGAGTACAATTGCATGAGCCGAACGATAATAACTTTGAGTTATTGAACGAAAACGTTCTTGTCCAGCTGTATCCCAAATTTGTAACTAAAAATTTATTATACACAAAATTTATTTATAATTCAAAAAAAAGAAAAAAAATGAAAAAATTATAAAAACGAAAAGAAACACAAGAAATAAATTCACCTTAATTTTATCATCATGCACTTTTACTGTTTTTATCATAAAATCAACTCCGATTGTTGCACTTTGACCTGGCGGAAATATTCCCTAAAATTTAAGTAAATTAATAATTAAGTTAAAAAAGCAAAAATAAAAGCATAATAAGATTTAATTTAATATTTCGCATCATTCTTATTCTAATGAATTGCACCATTATTGGTTCAGACCGGCTCCTTAGGTGACTAGACGTAATAAAACATTTTTTTATTTTAACATAATACATCCCCCATAGTGTGGACCAAATTCTTAGATGATTAAATGTTAGGCATATTTTCTTATTCTAATAAAATGCGCCACTAATATTATGAACTAAATCCTTCTATGATTAAATATTATGCATATCTTCTTATTCTAATGAACTGTATCACTAATGGCGTAGATTAAGTCCGTAGGTGACTAAACATTAGCTAAGGTATATCAACCTATTCTAATAAACTGGACCACTAATGACGTGGACTAAATCCTTAGGTGACTAATTATAATACATAATACATTTTATTCTTAAAAAAAATTATATGATTAATGATTTCAACTGGCTTCGATTTCAATTGAAGACAACTGAAGATGAAAAAAAAAATTAATCGATGCTAAAAAATATCACCAAAATCACCAAAAGATTAAAAAAAAACTGATAAGAATATTATCAATAATTATCGATCTAAGATACTATCAATGCCATATATTATCAATAGCAGTAATAAAAATGCTAAATTTTTTTGTATAAACTAAAATTCTCATATTTTTTTTTTTCTAATGATCCTTCATTATCGATCATTACTAGTTAGACTCGCTTAGCTCGCTTTTTCGCATAACGGAGAAGAAATATATTCTATGGCCAGAGAGTTCTTTTCTCTAAGCGATCGAAATAAGCCAAGTGAGTAGGCAACGATAGAAATGAGCCAAGTGAGTAGCCAACGATAGAAGTGAGCCAAGTGAGCAGTTATCGGATTTTTTGAATTTCTTGCGATGAATATGAAATCTTATCAGTAAACAACAATAGCGAATTAAGCAATAACCCATTAAGCCTAAGCATCAAAGATCGAAAAAATCGCGCATAATCGCGCAGTTGTTTTTTAATTAACGCCAAAAAAAAGAACTAAAAACTAGTCTAACCTGAGTAAATTTTCGAACGATACACGTCTTTCCAACGCCAGCGTTACCAACGAGAACAACTTTGAATAAATATTTATAATCTTCCATAATTTCTCAATTTATTTTTTATTTCCTATTTTTTTTTATTAAAAAATAGAATTATTTTTAAAAGAGAAAAAAAATTTTTCAATAAAATTTATTTTAATAAATCATTCGTTTTAATTTAAACGACAATCGTTCAACGACAAACGAACGCTAAACACCTTCATCATTTTTTTATTTTCACTACTAATTTTCAGCCTAATTTCTAAACAATTCCACACTGACGGACTCTCGACATGGAAGCTGCCGATTAGTGATGAATATAATAATTCATGAAAATGCACATGAAAACCATCTAACTGATTAAATGACTGGTTAGCACTTGTGGAGGAGGAACCTTTCGAATTGGAAAATTGCCAGTAGTACCAGGTAAGATAAAAAGATTCTATTTCGACCCTCCCAGCTTTCGCTTTCCCTCGCTTCTTCGATCAAACAGAAACACATCACGAAATGACCCACTTCCTCCTACTATCTGGCAAATCACCACATTAAACGAGACGGAAATGATTTTTGATTATCAGCTGATATCATATCAGATAAGGCATATGCATTTCGCACTTTTATTCATCGTCACCACTGTAAATATTGCTTATGCATATCACAAAATAATCCTTTAATCTTTTATTCCAAAAAAACAGGAAAAACAGGGAAATAACTATGGGATAATCAAACAAATAAACGATTTAAGCTTTCAGTCGGTTAATGAGGGATTTAAATAAAAAAAAAAAAGAAAATTTTCACAGATAAACAAACAATGATAGAATTAATGAAAAAAAGAAATCTCCCAAAAAACTAATAATTAATATATGAATTAACTAATAAATCTTTTAAATTAGCAATTTGTTTTTTCAAATTATTAGCGGTCGCTTTTAAATTTTCATTTTTTTCAATTAAATAAAACTTTTCATTTTTTAACGAAGCAAATTTCTGCGAGCGTTTCAATCGAGATTTTTGTGATGCAATATTATTTTTATTTCTTTTTTGCCGATAAATTATATTATAGTCATCGGTACCAGTGTTGTTATAATTCGTCATCTCAATATAATCGACAATATCGTTACTATCATTATCTCTCATAACCTTTTCATTGTCGACGGTACGGTTGTTGTCATTAATCTTCATTTCCATTTCGTTTAAATTCCATACTACAAATGAAATAATTTTTCAAATTTCATCGAAACAAATATAAACAAGTGAAAGAAATTTACGAAATAAAAAAGTTTTACTTTTAAATGTCAACGGGGAAGATAGAATGACCGAGTGAACTGCTGTACTTATTTCTAAGCGCCAGTATTCTACTTCTGGTATAAGTAAAAAAACTCTATCATCCTAGCCACTCAACTGTCGTATTTCTCTCACCAAGTGACTTCGGCAAAATTCGTCCGGTTCAACAAATCAGAAGAGTGACCCCAACTGGAAATGGTGATTCCTTTTTTTCTTGCTAATCCAAACAAAAAAATTTTAAGCAAATCTAACCTGGAGAATGTTCTGAATCTATAGGTGTAAGATTATAAGTTTCACATCTTAACTCTGAATTTGAATCTGACCCATTCGATGAAACCGATGGCAATGATACAAAAAATTCTTCAAGAATTGATTTATCCTAAAAATTATCCTATTATTTTTGAAAAATTAATTAATCCAATTAAATTGGCTCCGTGGCTTGTTGAACGCCAGTGCTGAAGTTCGACTCTCAACGCGATAAACATGTCTTTTAAAAATCCAAGTGGTGCTGACGATTCACCAGCCTGGAGAAATTAATCGTATCCAACAAGCCATCTGAGCCAGCTAGGCTTGACATAAAAAAAAGTCAAACTGAGTTAATCAGTTAATTAATCAGTTAAAGAATCGACCTAAAACTGCCGTTCTAAAAAAATTAATAGGCAATAATGGAAACTATTTTCAAAAATCCAAAGTCCAAAAAAACTTACTATTAGATCATCATCGAATTCAGCAATACTGTTCGAACAATTATATTCGGTGTTTTTATGAACAAAATTATCAAGAAGGTCAAAATTAACAGTATTTAATAACAAATCATCTTGAACAAAATTAATTTCTTCATTAAATAAATGATAATTTGGTAAAGAAACATCGCATTTTTCATCGATATTTACAAATCTCTCTTCTGTCACTGAAGAAAATTTCGATTAAAACGAAAACCTTAATTACCAATTTCGTTTTTAATAAAAACTGTATACCTCATTCAATGCAGTATAAAACCCAACTTTTATGAATGAATTTCTACTATATTCAACCAACAAAATAACGCTTAAAACTTAATTTTTTTCATTTGTTTTTGGAGGAATATAAATGATAAAAAATCGAATATAGGATGTAAATATAAATAAATAAAAACAAATTAACAAACATACAATAATTTCCTGTAGAATCAATGTGGTCGATAGAGTGTACTGTTGAAATTTCCCCGATAGGCCCAATTAAAACACTGTTTGAGGCCACCGTTCGAATTTCTTCGTTCAACAAAACATTTCTCTCGTATCTATAAATTCGAGGTTACATTAGGTAAAATTCAATTTTACACTTTAACAATTTCTCAACAATTAGGTTTTACTAGGCAATTAAAGCAGTAATGATGCGAGTTGTTGAAAGGGAAAAATAATTGTAACTTAATCGACAATTAAAATTTTAAAAAATGAATAAAATAAAATAAAATGAAATAAACGATGAAAATAAACAAACATCGAAAGATCTATGCAACGGTCGCAACACGAACAACTCACGGGACATTTTAAATTTTTTAATTCGTCCTTAGTTTTAAAATTAAATATTTCCAAAACAGCAAATTGAAATTGTTTTTTGGTAAGACGGAAATCGTCCGATGATAATAAAAATCTTCTTTAATCCTAAAAAATCAATTTTGCAATAAAACGATAAACAAATGATTTAAAAAAAAAAAATAAAAATTGACGCCGAAAAAAATTAAATAAAGTTAGAAATTTGTGAATAAAAAAATATATTGCTAAATATTATATATTGTCCCTTTCTCATTCTCTATGGAGCCTATAGCACACCATCCACGTCGTATGCTTTCCCGGAGCCTATGAGTATCATGCGCACTAGCTGTTACTAACAATGTATTCTTCAAGATAGAAAAGCTGTTCTTGGGATCCACTGGAGCCACTTTTTCGTCTTAGGACCCATAATGCTCCTCCTACCACCACTAGGAATATTTTAGCCATTAAAATACGAAAAATATATAAATAATATACCATATAAATATTATACCCTACCCAACGAATAATCAGCCTATATTTTATTCAAATGAAATTACTCGTTTTGAGTTCGACAAAATTGCAAATCTTAGTGGATAAGGGCAAATAGACGATCAAGAAGACTTGAAATATGTCAACATTGCATTTTATTATTTCTTCGTATTATACATAAACGCTGTTGCACTTATTGCACTAATGCACTTATTGCTATCACTGCACTTCCTGCTATCTATAAACAAATTATGGCAAAAGACAATAGGCAGATCTGAAGGAATCTAAAGGAAATTAATTTTAGATGAAGGAAAGGATTAGAGATTTCGCGTACCGTAACAATCGTTCCTAGTTGGACGGGATTATATAAAACGCGTACGCATACGACATGCATATATGTAGGTATATATATATTTATAAAAAAAATGGTACCATGTCAATAGCATTAACCTGTCCGCCTGCCAATTATAAAACCAGACAGTCATTTGGGGAAAGAGGTGCAAGTGTACCCTCAGCACCAAAACCACAGGACTCATCGTCTGTGAGAAGCAACAAACGTTCCCCCACACCCTCCGGACACATTACCAAGTCACCCTTTACAATAACCAACGTCTCAAATACACATCGTAATAAGGCAACCAACCGATGAATGACGCCATTCGAACAAAGGCTCTATATTTTTGGCACTCTGCCAATTGCACAACTTAATGAAATTTTCCTGGCAACGATTCAAGATGACTCATAGCATTTATAGGTGTGGGTTGAGGAAAGTAGTGCCTTAAGTTTTTTTTTCACAATTTATATATTTTTATTAAAAATCATCCGTACGTCGACAAAGGTTTGTTTGTACACGAATTGTATGAATTAAAATAAGGAAAAAAGGAAGGAAGGACAAAGGAATGAGGGAAGAAATGAAGGATTAAGCGGAGGAAGGAATAAAGGAATAAATAGAGGAGGGAAGGAATAGAAGGAACGAGATTATCCTCTCATATCAGTTGTTACCCGTAAATCTAATGGACTATAAATCTACCAAAAAAAAAATAGCTATAATCGCAAAGCAGCAAATTGAAATCCGTCCTTCATTGATTGATAATAATTTTTTAATCGATCGATAACCGATAAGGATGATTTTTTAATTAAATAAAATAAAAAATTAAAGAAATATGAAACTTAATTATTTCCTATTTATTATTTTATTTTTTAAAACTGCTAATATTTATTTTCTAAATATTTTATTTATTAAAAACATAAAAAGTAAAAATATTTTCTTTTAAAATATAAATTTATAATATAATTTTTTTTTAAATACAAATATAAATATAATATAAATAAAATATGAGAAATATATAAATACTATTTGCCGGCCTACTTACTTACCTAGCATATCTGCCTATATTTAATTCATACGAGTATGAGTTCTTTGGGAATCGGTTACGAGGTGACAAAGTTTAGGGAATAAGAGGATAAGAAGGGAATTGAAGCAGGCTGGGAACATATCACTATTGTAGCTTTACTGTTTATCTCTTGCTAGTATGGTGATAAGATTAAATTAACTTCTTGCAAATTAATTAAGAATAGGATGGCTCAATAAGTTGTCGCTGAGTTCGGAGCGCTGATGGTGAGGTTCCATTTCTCACAGGCGTAAACCTGTCCGAAAATCCTGTTGAGTGATGCTGGCGACTCACCTTTATTTCTATCGCCAAGGGTCTCCCAGGTGCGTCCAGTGTAATAAGCCAGCGGAGCGATGGAGCTTAATTAAATATATAACCAAATATTCTCTTTTCTTGCAATTTTCTACATTTTTTTTAAATTTTTCTTAATCTTAATTTTTAGTGTGAATGTAAATAAGGATTTAAGTAGAAAGAAAGATATAGAGGAAAATCGATCTGTTCTTATTGGCCTATGGAACTTTCATAGATGTGAGTTGAGGAAAGTGGTACTTTTTTGATTCTTTTCGTCATGTGTGTCTTTATAGTTCTTTGAATCTTCTACTTCCAAACCCGCTAAGATCATCGACCTCAATGTTCCCCACCTTCCATTTCCCATAGCTTCCCCCATTCCTGGAAACGATGTAAATGAGATATTAAAATAAAACTTCAATATCTTAATTTTATCGTTATAACAGTAGACTGAGCCGCCCGAAGGCTAATTTTCGCTGAAACCAATGAAAATATTACAGGCCAAATGTGGATTGATTTTTTTTAACCGGTTTCGGATTTTCGGTTCACAAAGTGCAAAATTTAATGCAGTACTATGAGGGGGGTTTAAAATAGGAAAAAAGCATTTTAGGAGGGCTTTAAACGGATGAAGGCAAAAATATACAAAGGCGAATTTGGACAATTTTATCGAGAGACATAACAGGTGTCCTGTGGAAATTGTTGGGGACAAAACATATGATCTAATGCTTAACGATTAAGGTACTAAGAAGAATAGGTGAGAGAGAATATGGAGGTTTAAATGGATGTTAAGAAAAATTAGTGGGGTTCGGTAGTTTAACAGAACTTAATAAAGTTTACGAGATAGGACTGGACTTACGCATAAGCCATAGCCTAGCAAATTATCGATTATAAAATAGTTCCACGTCCCCTTCCTATTACCCTCCACTCTCTCATCTTTTCTCCTTAGTACCTTAATCGTTAAACATTAGATCATCTCACTCTAACACTCTCTCACCCTATTATCCTATTCAAGACCATTTAACAATAAAATGTTCCTCCTAATATAGTCCACAGGACCATTTCGTAATAAATTTATCTGAATGGTGCTTTTACGACGTGCACAGATTTATTTAGCAGTAATTATAAGACTTTAAGATCACATTTTATAATATAATAATGTATGTAATGATTTATGGTAATACTGAAAGGAACGAAGGAATGAATAGAAGAAAGGGTAAAGGAATAAATAAAGGAGTAAAAGAATGAATGAAGAAATGAATGGAAAAATAAATGGGTTGGAAAAGAAAAGGAATGGATATCGAATGAGATTATTACTAGGACTGTGCGCGATCAAATACAAATACAAGCTTACCTTTTGGGAATCTAGGAAAATCCTGGCAGGCAGAAGAATGTAAAGCTTTTCATTGCAGCTAAGCCGATTAGAATTTGTCATTCAAAAGGAAGCTACACCTGCTTTCTACCAAAAAATTAGCAAAAATCTTGTGTGGTACCAATTTTGGCAAAAAACAAAATGCCTTTAATTGCATTTCTATTTTTCTTCTTTTTCTAGCAATATTCATGATTTCCGATTTGATCCGATCTGAACTGCTTATTAGCACAAACAAGATCATCGCTTAAATCATTTTTAGGATTTTAATAATATAGCTCAGATTTTTCTTTTCAGTAATAACTTTATCAATCCTTTATTACTCGTATCGTTCAGATGATTTTTTTTTTCGGTAATAATTTTATCAATCCCTTATCACACCCACCGCTCGGATTCCACTTTTCAATGATAATTTTTTCTATTTCTACTAAATGAAACAAATCATATATCAATCCTTGTTTTTTTCTCGATTTCCATTCAATTGCAAATAATACAAAAGAAAAAAAAAATGAAAAATATTTTATTTAAATAAAAATTTATACAAAAAATTTATATTATAAAATTATCATAAAATTTATATAATTTAAATTTTTTCCCGAAAATTTGCAAAAAAAAAAAAACGAAATGAAAACCGAAAAAAAAATCGCAAAAAAAAATTTCAAAATGCATTTTAATTTTTATATTACACTTCGTCGTCGTTATTATAAACATAATTAATTCATTTACCTTTTAAATATAGTCCACTTTTGAAAATTTTTTTTTTTTCCTTTTTTTTTTTTATAAAATTCATAAATTTTTTAAAAAATTCTTCTTTTTTATTTTTTCACACGAATGCGATAAGTTTCTTATTTTTGTTTTTTCAAACTTTTGAATAAATCAAATCAAATCAAATCAACTTCTGATAGCGATAATTTTCAAATTTCATAAATTTCAATTTTTTATAAAATTTTTTTTTTAGAAAATCAATTAATTTTATGCAAAAAGTAGACTATATGAATGAAAGGGGGAAAAAAAAAACAAAAATAAATTTGAATAAAAATTGTTGTAATATAAATTTTATTAACCGCATTTCAGAAAAGAAAAACAAACAAACGAAAAAAAAAACCTGAATTATCACCATTTAAAATAAACTAAAAAGAAAAGAATTTTTCATAATTTATAATATTTATAATTACAATTATCGTTATGAATTTTTTGTAAAAATTAGATTGGTTTTTCTAATTTTTTCTTTTTTTACCAAAAATCTACCAAAAAATACATTTTTTTTTTCCACTCTAACTATCACATACGATATTTAATAATAAAAAAATTATTTAATAATAATAATAGTAATAAAAAGCATAAATAAAGAAATTTTATCAGACAAATTTTCGAAATAAAATAGAGGTAAAAACAATGTCATTAGAAGGTATTTTATTATGAAAAAAAATTGCTTTTTTTACTCGTAAAAATAAAAAAAAACCTTCAAATGACAATTTAAAAAATAACTGTAATTGAAATGAATAATAAAAACGAAATGCATTCTTCTTTGAGAGAAAAAAAAAAAAGAAATTTTGGAAGAAAAATTAGAAATAATTTTTGTAAATAATTCGCAAAAATACACATTTATTATAAATATATATACAATTAGTATAAATTTCAATTTCTGTATAACATTCATTTTCTTGTGCATTATGTGATAATCATTTTTTTTTTTTTCTGTTTGTAATCATTTCGGTTTTCGGTTTTCATAATTTAACGCTAACCACTTTTTGTATATTTTACCTTTACATTCACTTATAATAGTTGTATTCGAGAATACAAAAGGAGGATATATATATAAATTTAACATTTGTAGTAAAAATTTATCATTCATATTTATACATCGAAAATCTCATCATTATATTCAATTCTTTCTTATCCACATAAATACTTTTTCACCGTAATTTTTTTTTTTTTTTTGAGCCAATAAAAATACGATAGTTATTTACCAGAATTATTAATTATATTGTTCGGTGATGCTGAATTTATAGACGATGTTCCACCAGAACTACCACCACTACCACCAGCACCAACAACAGCATTTCCACCTACTGCCGTTCCTGTTGTCAAACCAGTTGTACCACTTGATGTAATATTTCCGTAATGATTATTGAATACTGCCACTTGTTGTAATAACTGCTGTTGAGCAAACAGTGCACAAATAAAATCCTTAAATAATAAATTATTCACGAAAAATCTTCACTAAAAAATATAAAACTTAAATGCGACTAATCGAATTATTCATTCCTAATTGCCAACCATTAGTGTTTCATTATTAAAAATAAAATAATTACAAAAGAATTTGTTAAAGAATAATGGCGATTCTAAAAAAAAACATCGCAACAGAACAGACGACAATTATAAAAAAAAATTCCTATTTGGAAGCATCTTGAAATAACATTGTCAATGATTTCGATAAAAGTTAAAATAGACAAAATATGAATTAATGCAATTCGAATAACGATAAATATGATAAAGAAAAAATAAAAATGAAATAAATAACAAACCGATGATGGTATTTGACCAAGTGACGCTGCAGCAGCAGCAGCTGCAACAGCTGTCGTAGTATTAATACCGTTGGGCGATCTGCTTTGCATAAAATTGTTGGTCAATGCATTCGCGGCAACGACAGCTGCTAAATGCTGTTGCTGTTGCTGTTGTTGTTGCTGTTGCTGTTGCTGTTGCTGCTGTTGTTGTTGTTGTTGGCGTCCAACAACCATATTTGTAGGAAATTCGACATTAGTTTTGAACGTATTCGAAATAGCTGTTGATGTTGTTGATACTGAACTAGTAGCTATCACTGCTGCTGTTGTTGTTATCGCTGTTGTTGGAATAACTGTTACTGCCGTTGATAATGAATTGCTGTTATTCGTTGATATCCTGCAAATTTAATTCAATGAATATCAATATCATATTGCAAGAAAAGTTACAAATTAGAAAATCATTAACCTCTATGAAAATTGCCGATCAATAACAATTAATTGGAATCATGTACAAAAAATTTGTATATTTATAAAATTAACAAATAGCGTATGAAAAAGACCTGTTCGGTATAAATGATAATTGCGCATTTTGAGGTAAATTATTTGATACATGAAGAAGAGATGCTTGATTACCAGCAACATGAGAAATGCTCGACTGTGATAGACTGTGATTGCTGTTTCTCGGCGTATTCAACAAATTATTACCAGTTAATGTTCGCAACTGATTTAAGGAATCATCTATTATTGGTGTTACATTCGACGAATAAATCATATTATTATTGTTATCATTGCATGATAACGTTGTATATATTGATGTTGTTGATGATGGTGAAGTTGTCGTCGTGACTATTGATGACGATGATGGTTGCTGCTGATGTTGTTGATGAAAAGATGAAGAAGACATAACATGAACGGAAGTTGTTGTAGTTGCTGTTGAGGGTGGTACTGAGGTAGATAATAAATTGGATTGTGAAGTAAATGACGATGGTAAAGTTGATGAAACTGTTACAGAATTAGACGAAGAAGAAATCATTTGCTGTGGAATATTTGCATTATTCGTTGATATTTGAGGAGAATGATTCGGCGAACTGCAAAATCAAATTAGCATTCAATTTAAGTTCTTTTTTTTAAATTTTAAAAAAATATTAAATGAACCAAAAAATTTTTCAGAATTAGAAAAAAATCTTTAAAAAAAATCTAAATTCTTCAATTAATATAAAAAATTTATTTAAATAATAAATGAATGGAGAACAAACCCATAATTACTGCTAAACGAAGATGAAATATTATTAAATGGAATAGATAAACGAGCGTTTAATGCCAATAAATGATCTCTCCTTCTCATCAACGATGATAACGTTTCACCTAATCGAACATTTTCCATTTTTAAATCGTGTAAACATGACAAGAGTTGTGCCACTAAAAATTTTATTTTTTCACCATTTTCGCAAAAATAAATGCGAAGAAATAAAAAAAAAACCAATTTTTTTGATAAAACCATTTCAAAATTAATTTCTAGAAAAAATAATAAAAGAAACCATCAAAATTCGCATGCGTCATAAGAAAGTGCGATCCTTGTTCCCATTGTTTCTCCAATAATTCTTCCATTGTTTGTGGTAAATTATATTGACCACATTGAAGAACAGAACCTCCTCCTCCAGATGTCGATGTCGATGCTACTGATGTTGTTACATGTTGACGATCAATCGATGATGACAATGGTAAACTAAATTATTGTGGAACTATGAAAGTAAATTTTTTTATAATTAGATTATTATAATAACTAAACAGGAATAATAACGTGATAAAACTTCGTTTCGTGTCGAGAATCATAGATTCAAAGATTCTCTGCTTCTAATCAATTAGTTAAGTAATACAGGCGATGTTGGCGATTCATTTGTCCTACCGTTCACCCATTTCCTAATAATTTCAAATCGTATTATCAGCCAACGAAGTTATTCTAACCAGAAAAGGTGGATGCCAATCACTACCACCAAACCAACTCTAATAATTTATCGAATTACGAAATAAATAATAAATAAATAAAAAATAAAAAAATATATTAAAATAATAAAAATATTAAAAATTCAATGAAAAATCACTTTGATAAATTAAAATCATTAATGACAACAGGTTTCGGACGCATTCTCAATAAAGGAACACCGGTAAAAGTTGATGAAGTTGATGTTGTTGTTGATGAAGGCAGCTTAGATATCGATGTAATTCCTCCACCTTTTGATGAAAATGATACTGCTGATGTTGATGATAAGGCAGTTGATAATTCGTTAACATTCGAATTTAATGTTCCTATGCACCAATAATTATTATTATCTTCTATAGTATATTTTTCGCACGAAGCCTATATTTTGTTTCCATTTGTTTTCTTAACATTTTTCAACAATAACGACTTTCGGCAATAAAAACACCAATAAACAAAAGCGCATAACTAATCTGTTCTAATAGAAAGCCAATCAAATTTAAATCTAAATCTGATTACCTGATGAATTGACCAATGAAAAATTCATTGTTGAGTATGATGTGGACGGTGCAGACTGATGAATGGTTTGTACCGGTAAGGAATAAACTTCATTACTATTATTATTATTACTATTATTGATAGAAGAGGTAAGTGCAGCAGCTGCTGCAGCTGCTGCAGCATCTCGTTCACTAATCCGTTCTCGTTGAAAATCGGATACTGTTGCCTTAAATTACAATTTTTTTTAAAAATCTTTCTTCAAAAATCAAATCAAATGTTTTCATGAATATTTAAAAAAAATGAAAATAAAACGAACCGACACCAATGGCTCAACTGATTGTAACAAAGCTTTAACTGATTTACTATTCCCTTTGCTATTATTTCGCAATCGTTTCGGCTTATCACCACTTCCTTCCATATATTTTGTTCTTTTAACTTGAAAAAAAAAAACAATTTTTCTTTTATATAATTTTTAAATATCCAATTATAATATCCAATTACAAATATACATACATATAAATATAATTTTTAAAATTTGCTTTTTTTCACTTAGAAAAAAATCATCGAAATTTTTAATACAATTTTTTTTCTTATAATTTCAAAATTTTCAAATAAATAAACAAAATGAAAAAAAAACAGATTAATAAATTAATAATTAAATTAATAAGAAATATTACTTTTTTGAAATATACAAAAAATATACATATAAAAATATATAAAAATTTTCACCCACTAATAAAATAACCACTAACTTGCATTAATAATTGATATATGCGATTTATTATCATTGATATTAGTGATATTGGTTGGTGATAATGCTGAGGATGCTAATCCTACGACCTATAACAAATTAAATAATTACATTATAAACTTGACTCACTATTCAATGCATTTTTCACCATTTTTAATAATCATTTACTAAAAATAACTGAA